AAGAATTTCTCCCTAMAAAACCCCTCTGATCCGAATGATCAGCATCACTTACCATAAAAATAAWAAGGTTTGTGGAAGTCAGGTTCCCCATCGGCTATGCACACACTGGAGCAGATGCCTGGATGCTTGTCCTGGACCTCCCCAGATCCTGGAAAACCATCTCTGGATGGCATCGTGGAAGACCACACACTAAGGTAACAGACCTTTGAGTGATCAGGCCAATGGCCCTTACATTCACCAACATGGAGTTTACTTCCCTTCTGCATCTCTAAAAGACGAGTATGATGACATTCGTATTTTGTAGATTAATACCCTTTTGAACACACAAATGACTGGTTWGTCCCCAAATAATGTGATTAGATAGCAGTGCTTTATCCACACCTGGGGGTCCACATCCAGCATCTGTCCTCACCACAGCAGTCCTAGCTCCTCCATGGATGATACATATCACTGTATTGGCAGAGCACAAAAAAAAATCATGTTTTGAGGCGAACTGTTACACAGATGTATTTATTGCATTGTAGTCTTAGCAATTTTAAATATAAACATTTACATCTGGAAAGCAAAATATTGCAAATTCAGTGTTATTCAATATGTTCATAGCAGCATCAGCTTCCTAAGAAACAAAATATTTAGGAAGACAGAGAAGGAATTACGAATTAATTACATTCTCATTTATCACCAYCTGACCCAAACACGGAACTGCAGCTGTGAAACAGATATTGAAGTCACCAAATGTGACCTTGAAGACATCAGAAATTTCAAGACTGGWGTGTGTCATTGTACCTGATTCCCCACAGGATCATCATGTGCCAAGGTGAGGTTAACTAACAGTCATGAGCCTGGAGAGGGCAGAGGGTCGATGTATCTSCATTACCTGACAAAGAGAGTTTTAATAACAACACTTGGCATTTGTATAGCATTTACCACTTCCCCAGATCCTTGCAAGACAGGCAAGGAGTGCTCTTGAGTGTATTACAGCTGTGGAGCATCAGGGAGAGGGATGGAAGTGACTTGCCAAGGCCATAGAGTGAGCGAGAGGCAGCAGAGAGAGCAGAATTTGTCAGTCCTGACTTCAATCCCACATCACTCTGGTGGGTGACGCTGCTCCTCTGTGGTTCCCTAAGGAAGTTTCACAGGTGACTCATTGGTWAACAAGTCCCAGTCTGTGCAACTACAATGGGTGTGTGCACCACTTGAAAAGAGGTCAACCGATCTGTCCCCCTTGTAATGCCCATTTTAGTTTTAGGGAAACCAAACATTTCTCTCATCTTGTCCTCTCAGAATAATGTGTCAGCTGAAGACACCTTGACACAGCTGCACTTTGCTCTGAAGCAGTGGAAATCAGAAGCAATTGCTAYAGCAGCAGCTTTCATTTCTTTCCTGAGGGAGAGCACTGATCTTTTGAGAGGAAAAAGGGATGGATATGTTTTCACACAAACTGATCAAACTACTTTTCATTCTAAATGAATACAAGACTGACTGAAAGTCTCAGGTGTAATAATTTTTTTCAACCAAGTCATCCAAGTGTACACCACAAAGCTGGAAGCTGATAAGATAGTTATCCAGTAACATCAGAAGGCATCTTCCTTCTCTGACAAGCCTTCACTTCCACCAGCTAAGAGGAAGAGCATTTACAGTGACATCTGAAAGGACTTGTAAACATCGTGAGACAAGCATCTCTGCCATTTCTCCACTAAAGTAGTTCTTCCTCCTGCACCACCCAGAAGCCAACAAGGAAAAACCCAGCCTCCTCCATCCCTGCCTCAAAAGGGCAAATTTGCTTACTTTTTTATCTCGGACTTGGTTTCCTCTGCAAAATCTTAGAGGCAGGATCAAACGTGTCACTCATTAGGAATGGAGCTTGGCAGAGATTCCAGGGGCAGTTCAGGTGCTGTGAAAGGCTCACAGCACAAGGGAGGCTGCACTCAAGAGCTGCCTCTGCATCCTTCCCCTTCAATTACAGAGCCAAACTGCCCAGTGCTGGCTGGATTGTGCCCAAGGGCACAGGCTAGAAAGCCCCTTCCCATGTCAAGGAGYTATCACCATCTGAGTAATTCTGGTCCCCTCYTTTTTCTTTCCTTAATATCCCACCKAACCCTACTCTCTGTCCGTGTGAAGCCATTCTCCCTTGTCCTGTCACTCCAGGCTCTTGYAAATAGTMTCTCCATCTTTCTTGTCAGCTCCCTTCAGGTAYTGGAAGGCCACATTTAGSTCACCCAAAGCTTCTCTTCTCCAGGCTGAACAATCCCAATTCTCAGYSCYTTTCCTGGTCTGCAAGACTTTAATTACAATCAGAATTTCACAAATTCTGTAAAAAACTTACTTTTCCAATACTGTTTCTAGTAAGCAGTAGCCTTTCCTAATATTCTAACTGACTGACTTAGGACTTCTGTTAGTACACATTTGCAATTTTTAAGCCAATGTCAAGAAGCGAAAGCATGAACAGAAGTAGTTTGGGGCTGCAGATGCTGCTGACCTCAGCATTTATATTTTACACTTGGCAGTGCAGGCAGGAGAGAAAACATCCTCATATTAATTGGCAGTATTTGCAGTTATGCTCTGAGGCAGACACTGGCATATAACTGAGCAGCTTCTCAGGGAAGAGCTGGCCTGGCTGAGGGAATCATTGCATCACCTCTGAAAAGGTGCAGGACTGTGGGCTTCCCAATTTTACCCAGTGGCAGAGTTTGCAGTGTAAGTTGATGGTTTTAATTCTGATCTGTTTAATCAAGGACAGGAAGTTTACCTGGAGATAAACATCTTCATAAACTCGGTGTTCTCYGTTTGCTGTCCTTGCTCCATTTTCCTTCAAGATTCTGGATGAAATAATTTCTACCTACCTCACTTAGGTCAGTGCCAGCAAAGAACAGAAAGGGTGAGTGTGAGCAGCATGTTGGACAGAATTGTCAAATCCAATAAAAATTAGACATCATTTTTCTCTGCCTCTATTTATCCTGCACACCTCTTCACCCAGAGATTCATAGGTGCAAGTGGGTGACTGCAACAGCTAGGAAAACCTAGCAGTTTGTGAAGGAAAATAAATAACAAAATTATTTTTCAAAAGTTTCAAAAAATCAGTTTACTCTGAAAGTGGTATTATCCAAGATAATAATTCTTCTGGCCAAGCAATTCGAAAAATCTAAAGAGAACAGTATGAAAATCAAGGGTAACATTCCTTAGGGAAGGGTAAAAACCTGTGGGCAGTCAGGCCTATTCCTGCTGAGACACTGCCCTGCTGAGAGAATGCTATGAAAGAAACAATGAATCCAAACACCAAAGGGTAAGAAGCAGAYGGAAAACAGCACTCACTGATTAATTCAGTCACTGCCTGTGGAGGACATGCTAAGCACCTCACTGTAGGTCAGAAAAAAACCTTCCAGGCAATTAACAACCTGGACAAATCAAGTGAGAGAAGGAACTAAATCCACAATTTTTTACAAGCTCCTTTTGGCCTTACCTTTTCTACTATCACAGCCTAAAAAGTGTTTGATAAAAAGGATGCAGCTGTGCAAAAACATTTCTAAAACATAATACAATAAATTACAGATTATTTTCACCCTTTCTCAACCTATCCCAATGCTTCTTCAAAGTTAGTTCAGAAAACTGCTCCCTGCAGTAACTGGGTACCTCACCACAAACACACTTCAGGAACCACTGCTGAGCACCAGGCTGAGCAAAATCCTAGAAATATTGGACAGGTGAGAACCTGTGGATACCTTCCAGGGACATTTTCATATCTGCCCAAAGCTTTTTCATTCTTTCATGCTCTCTGTTTCTTATTCTTCATTCTTTAGCAGAAAGACTTTGGTGTGTCTGGGCTCACAGCATCTCTGTGACACTGCCGCAAGAGAAGAAGGGCTGGGAACAGACAGCTTTTTGATCAAAAATTTTATGCTGAGTTTGGGAAACGATAGAAATAAATAACCAGAAACAATTAAATAAAAAGCCCAAAGCTCACTAGTTTCCAAAGGTTGTTTTCTTCTTCTTTTTTTTTAACAGATTTAGGTAAATATTTCATTGAGGTAGAAGAATTCATTTCAGAACATGACATTCAATTTTATTTAAAGAGCAACATTATCTGAAGTATTAAACATGCAAGTGACAACACACATACAGGATCACTTGCTTCATCACAATCATGATGCTTGGAAGAGACAAAATCCGTAAGACAGCATTTTAATAATGCATTTTTAAAAGATACAGTTCCAGAGAAAGTGGGAAAAGGAAGACATTTTGGAAGATCTGAAGTTGTAGAAGAGGAAGCAGCAGTATTTAGGAAGGAGCCTGGAAATAATGAGAAAGGTGRACAGGAAAGTAGGAAACAAATGAAGAACCAACAAATAATTCATTAAATCTAAATTGGAAGAGAGAAGTTTAACCAACTTCACAGGTAACAGGAGGAACATTTTAATAATGAGGTAGTGCAAAAAAAGGTATAATCCTATAAAACAAACTATAATCCTTAACCAGGTTTGCTCACCAAGGTGATGATTCTGGAAGGAACAGGTCAGGGATGATATAAAAATCAAGGCACAAACTCAAGTCTAAGCACCAGCACTTTTCGTTAAATGTAAACAAAGAAACTTGTAGATGTGAAGCAACAAACACCTGTAAGGTTTTGGGGAAAAATTTCTTATGAAAGGAAACACTGAGACTTCCAGCAGTAACTGAGAACTTGSGGAAGTGTCAATTGACATGGAAGGGCAGCACAGCCACAAAAACATTCATAGTAGTTGTATCTTAGTTAATGCACAAGGCAATACAAACTAGGCAGACAAACAGAATTAAGAATATGAGGTGAAGAAAAACAAGAATTCAGCGAGATGTCCTTGTATATCAGCCCGAGGGTGGTCTGATGCCCTTTGGTCAAGTATGAAGGAAAGAAGAGAGGTCAAAACCAGTGGCCTTTGGTTAATAATGGAAAAGGCAGAGAGGAGTCATCCCAAGCAACTGAAATAAAAACAAAGCTGTCAGAATATAGTGAGGAAAATCCCCACAAAGCATAAGGAAGAAAATATTCACTAGCAATAAAAGCTGCTGGGAAGCCAGGAGCAGAGAAGAGCACCTTGTTTCTAGCTTCAYCTGTTTCCAGTAATTTGTGAGGGTTCTGGTTAGTGCATAGAAAGCCAACCAGGAAAGGGTTCAGAAAGCCAGGAYAAGAAGAACAGTCTTTGTAAAACCAGAGTTTAGAATGTCCTGAAGAGACAAAGTACTCACAGGAGAAAGAGGAGGAAAAAAGGAGAAAAAAAAAAAGGGAAAAACTGCAGAGCACATGACCACAAACAAGAACAGTAAAGAACAGAGGGGAAACACGAACCTCCACAAGAAGAGTCTTTTCAGTGCCTAGTCTCAGCTCACAGAAGGATGGGATTGCTGCAGTAAAACAATATTTCATAAGAAGCTGTAGAGAGTAATTCATTTTCTTCATTTCTTCTTTACCCTTGACAAAACTATTCTGCCTCAATGGTATTTTTTTTCCGTCCCAGGCTGAACTTGGGTTTGAGCTCAGTGGCTGAGCTCATCGAGCCCCATGTCATGTGAAATGCTGACATAAATTTCAGGCTCCCCCAGAGGCAAACAGCTGCTTTGTATGTCCAGAATGCCTGCTAAATGATTTCTCTGATTCACCCAAACACCAGACATATCCCTAACGACAAAGCAAGCAGAATGCTGCATCTGCAGCAACAGAAATCCATGTCACCCACAGCACAGCCACTCAGTTTGAGAACTCAGGACATCTATATGTGCAATGTAAGTCCAGCTATAAAGCAATTCCCAACTTCAGCTTAAACACACAAGAGCTGCTGCAAAGCACAAGGCAGTTGAGATGAATACAGAATAGCAGCATGAAATCTCCTTGGACAACAAAGGGAACAGGCTACACAATGGAACAGCTTCATTTACCTTCAAACTTCTGCACGCAGGTTTTTTAGAAAGCAGTTTATACCTGCAGAACCCTGGCCTGATCTGCAATAATTTAACAGCCTTGCTAAAATGAAACACTGATGAGTAGACTTCTATACTTCTACATAYTTTTCAGGCACATCTCTAAAGCTCTACTGGAATTAGATGATGCATCCCTCACATGGACAGGAAAGATCCATGAAGATTTCTGCTCCATTAGAACTGCTGGAGTCTGAGCACCTCTAATTTCAACAGAGGGAGCCTGAAAGGTGCTTAAATACAGGATAAGTGTGCTCAGCACAAACACAACTGAGAAAAGCCCTCTATTTTCCAGCTTCACTATTACACTAAGTAGSAAATGGGTGAAATAAAAAAGGATAGGTTTCATCTTCACCCACAGATAAACTCCAAACAGGGATCTGGATCAGCTACATCATCTGCCTGCTGGTGACACAGGGCCAAAGCACAGCATTACAAAGAGAGCCTAAATTTTGATACTGGGAACAAGTTACAGTCCTGCCATCACTCMCACTAAAAGAGTAGTTTACAGTTAAGAGGTTTTCTATCATGTGGGGCATTACAGAGCTAACTATGGCAAAAAGGCCACTAGCCATCAGCAGGATGTGATTCCAGTGTTTTATAAACTAGTTCAAAATTACTGTCAGAATTATGTCAGGAAAAGAGGACACCCATGTAGCAGCAGCAGATAAACTGTTGGTTTCGTTAGCAATTTCCTCTTGATATTACTCAGGATGTGCAAAAGAGCATTGCTGATTTATTGCAGGTGGAGATCTTATCCTTAAATGTGTGCCACAMGTAGCTCCTGTAACAGAGTACACCAAAATTCTCTTCCACCCCTCTTTTTAAGAAATAGTACTATCTGTGCTGAACTCCTTCACATCATAGAAACAACTGCACTGCTGACCTTCTCCTGAGACCCCCAGCAGGGATCTAAGGAGGCTGCTTTGGCATCAAGCCCAGGATGCTCAGGTTACAATTCTTTCCCCTACCTTATTGTGGCAGTGGGAAACCAGCCACAGTACCATCCTACTCAATGACAAGTCTAAATAGCAATGGGAGCTGCASCAGCAAGTCATGCTATCAAATAAATACGCCAACAAAGGCTCAGCCAAGTCAATGTGCTAAATGGACAAGCAAGACATTCTCTCCTCGAATAAAGATCTGGTTTATGTGGCGTGTGAACACCTGCTGATAATCCACCTTGGGCCGCCTTCTCCTCCGGGACTGGCTCCTTGCACGGGCCCCACCAGCACTGGCCCCCTCTGTGTGGGCAGTCCTGCTGCCCACATCAGCTTCACTTCTGTCACCTGGGGTCTTCTTGTCTCCAGCTCTGCCCAAGTGTTTCTGCCTCTCACGCTCCTCTTCTGCTCTCCCTCGTCCTGATCCAACCTTCAAACTCAGCGTTTGAGAGTCTTTTGTCAGGGCCAGCTCCTCTGAGGCAGTCTTTGAGTCAGTTCCCTTTTTCCCCGAGGATTCCTGCAGCTTGAGTCTGTCAAACAGCTGTAAAATGACATTTGTGTCTATGACCACATTGTAAAACAAGAGAGGTCACTTGTTCCTCACTTCTACCTTGTATTCTCATGTGCAGTCCCAAACCAGAGCTCACAAGACACAGTGACAAACCTTCACCAGCAATAAAGACCGTGTTTCCTTACCAAAGTCAAACAGAAGGTGAATGGATGCTTATGACTGTCTTAATGTGAGAACCAAGGAATTTAATTTGGGGAACCACACTGCTGTGTGCTAGCATTTAACTTTGGTCAGGAGTGATGGAAATGCCAAGTTGCTCCTATAGCTCACTTTTCCCCTACTCTTTTAATGTTGTCAGACTGTTTTGAAGAGATTTCCATCCTTGTGTCATGAATCCCTAAAACAAGGAGCCTCCATTAGCAAAGTCTGTACATTGAAAAACTGAGGGACCTTTTGTRTTCCCCAAAACAAATTAAAAGATGCTGTGTGGGTATTCTGGGAGGTGAGCAGACCACAAACAACAGGAAAATAATAAAAGCTACAGCAGCAGACCCAAAGCACTGTATGAACTCATTAATCTAAGAATACATGGTGCTGAAACTGGAAAAGAAACTGCTTTTAGTCTGGCAGCAGACAAGCTTTTATGAAATAATGACAAATGAAATTTTGGTTAGCCTCTCTCTTCCCAGCAACAGGATGGAAAGCCAATCCCTGTGAGAGTGAGCTAAAGGAACAATGACAACTTGATTATTTTTAACTAATCTTAAAAAAAAGGAAGGGTGGGATCTATCAGAAAACAGATTTAAATGGCAAGAATTTGAAAGCAACTCCTCACAATGAAGCAGTTTAAATGTTTYTGTGATGCTTCTCTGATGTTCAGAAAGCCCAGAGCTGTTGCCATTCAATGGGCACAGCCCTATCACATTTTTTTCCCTTCATTGTTCAGAAGTTCATCTATCATCTCTTCAATTGTCAGTGTGGTAAACAAYTCTATTTGCAGCTGGATCCTAGACAGTGGAGAGCTTTGGAGACCCTGGGCTTCACAGTACCCAGACTGGAAACTCTGGTGACCACAGARCTGTGTTGTTTCTCTGGCTGCAGACACAGACTGTGGCATGAGGAATATTGGTACCAGGAGGATGCTCTGCCACATCCCCTGACAGTACAAGTGTGGATCTGATCAGTCACAGGTGCAAAAAACACACAGAGCAAGTATATTAAAAACCATGGAGTGAGCATCTAGACTCTCAAGTGAAGATTTAGTAACACTAAACTACAAACTAAACTTYCAGAAAGGTCAGAAGAGGTTTTGGGTATTTTTTTCTAAATTCAAGTTACTTTAGAGTCATCTATAATAAAAGAAGATAAAATATTTCAAATGTAATAATGATTTCCCAATCAATGCTCCTCTTTTACTACTTTGAAAAAGGAGATCCTAATAAAAAAGAAAACAGGAGCTGTCACCTACCCGGGTCAGTGAGAGCTGAGGTTCTGCATAGAAGGCTTTGCCCATTACTGGTTTCCTGTAAGTCTCATCCACATCTGTCAGGGCCTAGAAAAAGATAAAAGAAATGGAAAGGTCAAAATTAAAATAAAACATGAAGCACCTTTGGACCAGCTCCATGTCAAAGCATTATGAAATTATGTTTTGAAAGAAAATCCATCTCAGGAACAAGCTGTGCTTTGGAGCTGGTTTGTTAATCATCTAAATTGTACTGAGGTATAAAAGCAGCGGCAAAGTCTAGCGTTTATTCTGCATTACTTGCAAAATCTCTGTGATCCTTGCCTGCAAAATCCTTCTCCCCTCCCCATTTCCAAACTTTTCACACCTCCAGGCTCACAAATACTTAACAGCTGCTTTTCCATCCACTTTCTTTAAGCTCTTCACAAGGTAGAACACAGGAAAAGCTTTTGTCACTGACAGTCAGTGATACCAGCAAAATAAAACAGAGAAGCACTTCCCACTATAGAAAGACTGGATTTTGCAAAGAAAGCTTTGAATGCTTCTGATATTCCTCATATTCTACCTTCCTGGGTTCTCATACAAAACTTTTGAAGATGCTGGGAACTCTTCAAAGCTTCTCTCTCACCTAAAACCTCTCTATGATGGTTGGGCAACTCCCAGTTGTATCAGTCCAACACCAAGCACCACTTACATCTCAAACCCAGCACTTAGTGCCAGAGCAAATTGATTTGTGGGACACAAAAACGTATTAACCTTCCCCATATGTCATTTGCTTAAACCTGTCATAAATTTCAAGTTTTCAATATAACAGTTCTACATTAAGGGCTGGAACAATTAATTACCATATTCCAGAACTTGTCAAATGCAACCAAAAACCCTGTGCAGACTCCACGAAGTCCTTTGAAAGTGCGGATGTGAACATTAATTCTGACACCATCTCGGACACAGCGATGAAGTTCCCCCAGTGGGCTGCCTTCATGGACTAAAACRGAAAGAGAACATCACCAGCCTTCAACAAAATATACAGACTCATAGAAYAGAATCACAGAATGGGTTGGAAAGGACCTTAAAGCTYRTCTCATTCCAACCYCTTGCCATGAGCAGGGACACCTTCCACTAGAYCAGGTTGCTCAGAGTCCCATCCAACCTGGCCTTGGACACTTACAGGCAGCCACAACTTCCATGGRTTACTYGTTCCAGTGCCTCACCACCCTCACTGCCGAGAATTTCTCTCTAATATTTAATCTAAATCTACTTTTTTTTCAATTTGAAGCCATTTCCTGCTTTTCCTGTCACTACATATTCTTGTAAAAACTCTTTCTTCAGTATCTATCTAAAAAAGATGTAGAAATCCACTCAATGTACAAGTATGGCACATCTTGGCACAACACTTGTGTTCACAACAATAGCAGTGAAAAGCCCCAAGCACTGTAACACACTGTGGCTGCCATTACCAGACCACCAAAACTCTTCTTACAGCGGGTACAGCCAAGACTTCAGAAGATATGAAGGTTTTGCTTTATATAGCCCACAGCCAAATCAGCTGTAGCTGAAAATCTTTTTGCTACATTTCAAAAACATGYCAAGTAATCCTAATTGTAAATAAAAGTGGTTGAGAAGGAACAGAAAGCTCATGGAGGCAGTTAGTTCCACAGAAAAGACAAATGCCTGGTTATGGCTACCTCAGATTACTTATGAACTAGTAAGTATTCTTTGTGAATAAAGAATTGTAGCAGATGTGTTCCTTTTCTTTACAAGGGGATTTCTGAAACAATGAATGACTCAAAATCCTTCAACTTACTAAACTGGACCAGTTTGAACTGATGAAAATGCATTGTTTCAGCTAAGACTTCAGCAGCCAGCTGAACATCTTTTAAAGTCATACAAGTGTCTGGCAAAGAAATAAAATTACTCTAAGAAGCAGCTGGCAATTAAACCATGCTAAACCCCAGGACAGTAATGCTCTTAACCAGGGCAAAAGTGAAGGAATTCAGTAAAACATACAGCTTACCTGGCTCACACAAGCCTTGTCTGYACACCAGAAATATTTGTGTGCAAAYACAAGACATTGCTGTACAATTYCTAAGAGTCAGGGAAAAGACTTAGTCTAAAATCTCASACAGTTCTTCATATTAATAAAATATGTGAGCCAGGAATGATCTCTCACCTTGTGCCTTAGGGACTACGTATTCAGGTTTGATTTGCACACCAGAAAATGCTCCCTCTGAGTGTAAAGTGACTGTAAAACAGCTGATCTGTAGGATGGGCTGCAGGGTAATTCGTGGYCACAGCAGGGAAATCTAAATCAGTTTCCTCTGAATTAACCTAATCACATTTATTTTTTGAGATCCATTGTCTTCTTGCCAGCGCTCTCCAGCTGGATAACTGGAGGAAATTRGTTTCACACAGAGCATAAGCTGTCTCAGCACCTCCCAGCCTTGCTTAGGGGGTCTTTCCACAAGTCTGTCTCCTTCAGCTGAACTGATAACAAACTTATGTTCTGGACTGACAGCTCCATCACAGGAACCACAGATGACACCATCACCATATCAAACTAATGCTTGCAATCAGAAAACAGTATTTTTTTCTAACCAACCCTGAAAACTGACATCGTAATTTAAAATCAAGCATTCTTTTTTAGACTTAAAATTTCAATGTACCCTTTACACAGGAACTTTATCTGCAATTTCTTACAAAAATCCACATAAAACCCTATTTCCAACCATGTCTCTGCCTCTCATCACCCTGGAAAATCTTACACAGCTCTACAAAATCATTCTGCTCCTTTTTCCTTGCTGCCTAAGATTCTGGCTCCTCCATGGCAAACCTCCAGCCTCACCTGAGCAAACGAGCAGAACACATCATCCAAAAACCCTTCATCCATCTGACATTCTCAGAAAAAAAACCGAATCAGCAACGCAAGGCATCTATTTTTGGAACACACCTCCTCTGCAAGCACCAAGGGCTGTAACGAGCAGGCTGTGCATGCAGCTAAATCTGCCTGTGCCTTCTGTGTTGTTAAGTACTAGCATCAACAACTTTTCAGTAGATAGAAAAAGTGTTGCCTAGTTGGTTTGGTATTGAAAATCTACCCCCTACTTGTATAAAATAAGCACATGCTTAATACCAGGATTCTGAAGAAAGACTAGAAAACTACTGTAAGCACCCCAGGACACAGAAAATAAAGATCCAAACTCTGGTTAAGTTCAAGTCCTTGTCCTCAGGGCACACTCTATTAAGAAGCAAGATTAGAAAAATCACAACAGAAAAGTTAGAACAGTTGAGATAATTTGGAACACTGTCACACACCTTTCCACCTGCCCTGCACATGAATTCTCTGCTACTCAGTGAATGCGAAGTAACAATAAATAGCTCCCCCTGAACTGATCCAACACAGGCACTGCTGAAGTAGYTTCCTTCCAACTTTTATGGAGCTTCTGCAATCTTGTGTCCTGACAGGTAATATTGTAGCTTCATTTCACATTTCTGACCCATTGAACTTAAGAAACTCATCATATCTGGTCAATTCTAGGGGCTGCCYCTGCCTCAGAGTCCAAGCTCCAAGCACCGTGGTGCAGAAATGCCCTATTTATAGGAATGCACACTATTTTGGCTATAAATCTCTCGATTTATATTTAATTTTTTACAGGATTCTTTTTTTCAATTTCCATCACAAATGCAAAACAARGTACTTTGAATGAAGATCAGAAATCAGTATTTAAGGTCAGTTTTCTGGAAATCCTGTGCCAACAAAACCTCTGCATTTGTGCAGAACACCAAATGTGATTTTTATGATCATGCAGAACCTATAGTAATGAATACATTGTGGTTTAGTGTCTAAGCAAGAAAAATGTTTTGCCTTGGGCATTCAGAGTGGAATATTTTGGGCTTTACCTTTTCACAAAAAAAAGAAAAAAAGAAATTAAGGTGATGGTGGTGAAGAGACACTTTGATTCCAAAAAGCCCCCAGTATTTTTTAATTAAAGTGCACTAAAATTACATGTCACCTGACAGCAATGCCATTTGACTCTTGGTGTGGGTGCACAAATCACACCTCTTCATGTTTAGGGTGTATTTACCCTAACTACACACACACATTTTACAAGAAATTTGCACTACCAGTACAGCTGATGGATTTAGCTACATCATTGCTGTCTCACACCTCAAACCACTGTTCGACCATCATGTTATCAGAAATGCCAGTATTTCTGCCTGCAGGATATACGGTTAGCAACCAAGTAACAGCAGTGCGTTACAGACTCWCCCTGTGGTTATGATATAACTACACACTGGACTGAATTACATATCAGTCCTGGCTTAAAATAGTGCTTTTGAGAATACAGCAGTGTCTCATCTTTTTTTCTCCTTAAAACTAAGAGGATGTATGTAATTAACCAATTATCAAAGCAGGACATCACCGCAACAGTCAGAATCAYTTCTGCGTGAGCAGCTCTGTGAAATGCTGTTCCTCATTCCTGCACACTATTTCAGAGAATCACGRAACAGTCTGGCTTGGGAGGAACCTTAAAACTCATCTCGTTCCAATCCCCCTGTCTCGGGCTTTTAAAGTCGGGTTTTTAAAGTATAAAAATCCTGTACATCTGACAAAAATTTCTAACGAGCTTCCACCACACCAGGCTGCACAGAGCCCCATCCAGCCTGGCCTTGGACACTTCCAGGGATGGGGCAGCCACATCTTCTATGGGTAACCTGTGCCAATGCCTCTGCACCCAAGTAACCATTTCCCACGGAACAAAATCATTTCCCCGCTGTCACTCAACCGCTTCCACCAGCCACCGCTCTCTTCTCACCCCAAACTAACCCAAACTCCATCCCAACTCCACGCCGGGCCCAGTCGCGACCCTCGACCCACCTCAGGACAACCGCGGCCCTGGGCCGGCCCTCACACCCTGCGCCTCCCCCTCAGTGCCGGCTCCCCGCGCCCGCCCAGCCTTACGGGGCATCCTGGTCAGGACATTGCGCGGTGCCCGCCGCCGCCGCCGCGTCGCCGTYCCGCCTTCAGCGCCCTCCTGCTCGGGGCCCGCGTTGACCATGAGGCTGCGGAGGCGCTGGATGCGCTCGGGGTCGGCGGCCGGCGGGCCCCGGCGGGACGAGCGGGCGGCGGAGGCTCCGCGGCGGGAGGGGGCGGCGCGGCGGCCGCGCGGGCGGCGCAGGCCGCGCTGGAAGCTCTCGTACTCGGCGAGGTTGTTGAAGCAGGGCGCGGCGGGGACGGGCAGCGGCGTGCGCGGCGAGTAGAGCGCCAGCAGCGGGTCGAAGCGGCTGGAGCTCACGTCCAGGCGGCTSGGGCTGGGCGAGCGGCGGCGGGAGCCCCGCGGCTCCGCGCTCGCCGCGCCCGCCTCGTCTTCCTCCATGCCGGGCTGCGGGCGGCCGCACCGCCCCTGGACCCCGCCAGGGGGAGCTAACGCGCAACGCCGCGGGCCTGAGGGCGGAGCGGCCGCCGGGGCGGGAGGAGCCGGGGAGAGCACGGGAGGAGCCCGGGAGAGCACGGGAGAGCACGGGAGAGCAGGGGAGGGGCCCGGGAGAGCACGGGAGGGGCCCGGGGAGAGCCCGGGAGAGCACGGGAGGAGCCCGGGGAGGAGATCGGGGAGAGCACGGGGAGAGCAGGGGAAGGGACCGGGAGGAGATCGGGGAGAGCACGGGAGGAGCCCGGGGAGAGCACGGGAGGAGCCCGGGGAGAGCACGGGAGGGGCCCAGGAGAGCACGGGAGGAGATCGGGGAGAGCACGGGAGGGGCCCGGGGAGAGCACGGGAGGGGCCCGGGGAGAGCACGGGAGGGGCCCAGGAGAGCAGGGGAAGGGACCGGGGAGAGCCCAGGAGGAGCCCGGGCACTGCCGCATCCGGCATCTCGGTACAAGAGACGAGGAGCTGCTGGAGAGCGTCCAGRGGAGGCCACAAAGATATACTGGGTCTTCACTGTCTCTCCTTTATGAGAGAGACTGTGGGAGCTGCATCTGCATAGCCTAAAGACTCGAAAGAGGGTGTCAAAAGGATGGTGCCAAACCCTTCCCGGTGACAGGACGAGGAGCAATCGCCATAAACTAAGACAAAGAGCCAAGAYAGAGATAGGAAGTTCTTAGGGGTAAATGACTGGTGCAGTGATTCTTCAGAATCGTTACCTCACAGTCACTTACATTCTCTTCTTAGGAATCATGCAGCCCATTCTAAAAACTAAAACTTAAACACATTCTCTTACTGCATGTACTTAATACAGAGAAGTAGGGCGGAAGCCCTATGCTATTATAAACTCACAGACTCATTGCCTGTTCTTGCGAAGAACCCACAAAGTTGTAGTTTACATCGGTACTGGCCAGTGGGGATTTTTAAAAAAAAACAAACCACCAATGTGTAAGTTCTGCAGGAAGGGGAAACAGAACAAGCTGATATGTGAATTCATTGGAATCTAACTCAGTACTGACCTTCTTCAGTCATATTTGATCCTTTCTTTTTATCTCCAGTCCCAACTGCTGACTCTCCATTAGCAACAACTGGCCCAATTACTGTTCTGAGACCAGGCTTTTGAACCAGCTTGGTTAGAAGCAGTAACAGCCTTATAAACACCCATCATTATAGCTGTATTTCTACATTGAAATAGGTTATTTCCCTCRAATTCATTACACTGGGACAAGACCCTATCCATTAGCAGAAATATTTCTGCTTTGAGATGTTGCATGATTTTGACAAAGGGTCTTAACTGATAGTTAAACCAGAACAGAACATAGACCAGGCAAAACACATTCCTTCCTTCACTCTAACGGATGACACTGCTCTGTGTCATTCCCAGAGCAATCAGAAAACACCAGCACTAACTGTTGTTGGCTCCCTCTTTGTAGGCACCTGGAATGTTCTGCTGTGTTGTTCCCTGTCATTCCTACACAGTAAGAGAAAGCGAATTCCCAGACCATGGAATATGAGAAAAGATGTCTATCCATGTCCTAACAGAATTCCAGTCTGTATGGAATCTTTATTATTAATTTCACTGTTTGGAACTTTCACCACTTACTAGTACAAGTCCTAGGAATGAGAAAGGCCACATGATAAAACACAGCAGGGAAGATACTATTRTTTTTACTTYTTTAAAGTATAAAAATCCTGTACATCTGACAAAAACTTCTAACGAGCTACAGGAAACGGCTGAGCCACTTCATTTCCTTTCAGTAAGAATCAGACATCAGSCAGGTGAACAGTTTGTCACTTGACTGACTAAACACACCAGCCTTGAAACTTAATACTAGATCCCAAYTGAAGTATTCTGGTCCATCTCAGTTGAAAATGAAAATCAAAATATTAACTTTCTRCTCAGATAAGCAAGCTTTTTTATAGTTCAGCTGTTCGGTAAAATATCTCATGATTTAAATGCTATAGAAATACAGGAAATTTCTATACACTCTTTTTACAAATATACATGTCCAAGGCAGGAACAGTCTTAATTCATAAGTTCTTAACATTCAAAATAGGGTATGATTTCAGCTTTCCATATGGGCATATCCYTGTATGTCAGACAGCACCAGTGCCTTCTTTTTAGGCAACAATAGTGCTAAACCCAATGCAGTTGCTGAAGAGGGTTACAGCCGCCACCATCCGTACTCCTCACTTGCCAACAACCCAAGCAGAGCAAAACGTGAACYACCAGTTATACTCATGAGAGACATCAACCATCCTCAGCCAGAATCTCAGGATATTCCTCCCAGAACTGATCCCCAATGATGTCACAGTGCAGGGGAACAACTTTAGTCTTAGTCCGGGTCACTTCCACTTCTTTTTCTTCYTCTTCCTTTGGCAGTTTTATTTTCTTAGTGAAGACTTCGTTAACCTGAAAATATAGTTGGCATATTAGCAGACATATAAGGCTCCAGAGGGGATTCAAAAATTCTAATAGAAAAAAAATTAATAAAAAAAAACACAGGACAGGAATTTCTTCCACTAATTCTGGATCAATGATGTAATTCTAGAAGGATGAATATTTCCAMGTTACCTTTAAAGCAGAAAAGAGCTAAGCAAACTATGAGCTGAGCTACCTTATTGAAAAAAGTTTGTAATCCCTTTGCCACGGATATACCTGGGACCTAATCCTGGGAAGGATTTGGCCCTGAGGATATACACATTGTCATCTGCTGATACATGTTTCATCTCAATAGTCATAATTTGTATCTAAACAGACTTCAGAGACTGTTTTTTTATATTATACTCATAGAAACAGATATCTCAAAAACATCTCCAAAACAATGAGTCATCTTACACGTCATTATATGACAAAGGTAATTAATTAAAAATATATTTATGCCTAGATATACATTTGACACACATGTGGTGCTCTTACAGTGCACTCTGTCTGGCACAGTGTAACTATTTACAATATGAGCACAAAGCAAGAGGCAATACAGTTTTTTACCTTCTGCCATATTAAGACAGTTCCTTTTCTATACATCAAAGGTTCATTGTTGTAGTTGATGTTGAATTCAGAAAACAAGATTTCATTCTTATCTCCAGCCAAAGTTCCCTGAAAGACAGGAAAAGAAAAATACTCTTACAGAAAATAAACAAATTGTATCTCTAGGGTTTGAGGATGGGCAAATATTGGAAGCAAGGCAAACATTTGTAAAGGTTTTCACCYTTAAGTCACAAGGTTTAATTGCTTCTCTCAACAGAGGAATCAATTCCAACTGCCAAACAAGCATTAAAATGAGAGAGTTTTTATTACAWTTTCAAGACAAATGGAAAACAGTCAACAGATTCCAGAAGAAAACAGGAATAATCTGCTAAAGTCTGCACAAGGAGACAAAACACAAGGGACTGGCAATCAACAGGACCTGAATTCTGCCACTATGCACATGTGTTTGGATACTGGACATTTTATGACATTACTAAGATTTCTRAATTTGCTAATTAAGAACTTAAAACGCTGCTAATACTTGACCAAGAATACATTATTTGCTTATTAATAGTATTAATATCTGTGCAATCAAAGAAGTTGTTGACTCTACAGCAACAACATTATTACAGTCGAAACAGATATGCCAGGGCTATTGGGCAGGCAAAATATTCTGTAAATTTTATATAATTTTTAGCTGTAAAAAAAGTGATTTCAGCAGACTCTTACCCGGAGCCTCTCCTGTGCTTGCACTGGTGTCAAACCACCTCGCTGTACAAGCATCCAGAACACTGTATTATAAAGGTTATTAATATGGCCTAGAGAAAACATAGAAATGAGCGTGAGGAAGATTATTTACCAAATCTGAGTGAACTGCTTAGAAAAAACAGCTTTATTTCCAGAATTGTATCCAAGAAAYAGCCAAGAATAATGGGGAGTTAATATAATCAGTTTCTAAAGAGCATACAATGTTTATGATCCATTTTTAAGGTACTGCACACCACAACTGGAAGACAGATTTTATTACAACTGAAAAGGACAGAGCAGAGGGTGAAGGGTGTTTATGTGTAATGTAAATTATTTTCATTTCAGGAACTAGGTACTAACAAAGCTCTAGAGAGTAAATCCAGTGGTCTGTTCTAGCATGGAATACTCAGCACTTTTGATTGCTACCTGCTGTGAATATGAATATTCACATCTCTTCATTAACAAAGATTACCTTGGCTAAGCCAACTCTGGACATCAAAATTAATTTATTAATTCTATTAGCAGTTCTAATGTTTCCTGTGCTGAACTCACTCTCAGGATGTAGTAAATCTAGTTGCAGTCTCAACACTCCAAATTTCAGCCAGTATTTCTGTAACCATAAAAAGCCCAGACCAACTGTAATATTATTGAAAATTATCACCCTACCTGCTGTTCTTTCACTGAAAATTTTCTAYACAAACACACTGGCAGAAAGAGCATTTCCGAGGAAGTGAACTCAACTGCACAAATCTCTGTTTTTTAGGAACACTTACAATCTGCTTGCCTCCAGCTGAGGTAATCCTTCAAATTCTGGTTGCTGGGATACAACACAATTCGTCCATCAAATCCTGGTGGGTACAGAAGYTGCTGGTCCTTAAAGTAATCCTTCCAATAGAACACGTAACTTGAGGAAAACTGGGAGACCACATGAGTCATGAACTTACTTGCAAACACAGAACAAGAGAAAAAAGGAAAGAAATACATGAGTGTGATTATATATCTGTGGTTATCTGAGGTATCAGTAGTGATAATTCTAGGGGAGAGCAGCATTTTTTAAATAGTGGCCAAAAGGATGAGCAATGGCACAGTCTTTTGATCAGCATAGGCACTGGAAATTACAACATTTTCTTAAAATAATGTCTGTTCATGATGTTTTGATTGTTCATATAATAAGTTGTTTATACAACTTTTTTTAAATCTCTGTATTATTGAGCATATTTTCCTGAAAAATCACATATAAAGAATCCACATGAAAAACCTGAACTAAGTGCAGTGTAAGCACCAGCCCTTCTCCTAAACTCTTTGTGCAGGTAAAGGCAAATCCAAAGAAGAATTATAGAGAGATGTTAGAAACAAGTTCACTTCAATATCAAAGCAGCTGTTACCTTGCTCTTCTTTTAAACCACCTGCTCTTCTTTTTGAAAACAAAACTGTATTCATCACTCTGTCCATAAGCAATAGCAATATCCTCCAATTCTTGCATCACTGTCTGGGCACAYTTGGTCATCAGCTGCAGAGCACGGTCATCATTTGGCTTTTTGAAMTCGTGCTGCTCAGAAAACCTTCAAAGCAAAAAGATTTGTGTAAGAATCCCTTAAAAAGCTACTAAAAATGCTAACCCGCTCATTTTCCTCATATTTGTTTTATATGAATATTGGTTTCCAATATCCTGTCAACACTGACAAAAGAATTCCTTCCAGGTATGAAAAACAGTCACAGAAATCCTCATCAGCCGCTCTGGATAACCCATTCTCTTTCCCACCAGTATCCGACCCTAACCAGTCTTTCAAAGCAGCTGGTTTATGTATTTAAACAGGAAAACCATAACAAATACTACTTTCTGTAAACTCCCTTTTACACAGAGTGTGTTTAATATTCAGTTCAGTAAAAGCAACACTATCAATAAACTTGTCAAAACTCAAGAGCTTTACCAAAACCAGAGATCATATCCCAGTAAGAACCTGTGTCAACTACCGGCCCAGGGAACTGTGAATGACACAGTTCTATTTATCCCGAGGGAAAGTGAATGCCACACAGACACTGACTCCCGACACCAACACACATCCCTGGACACCAGCTGCTGTCCCTCCATAAAGCACTGGGACACCATTCCCGTTCCACCCCGCACCAGCGGAGCGCGGGATCGCCCCGGCGCTGCCCGCACCTATGGAAGTTGCGGCCGTCCAGCCGCACCACGATCCAGCAGTTGGGCAGCACCGTGTCGTCCGCCTCGAAGTCCCGCACGTACTCGAACTTGCTCTTGGCCATGGCSGGGCCGCGGCGGCCGCACGGGGAGCGCGGAGCGCAGCCGGCAGCGATGGCCACAGCCGCCCGGCAGCAGCGCAGCATGGCCGGCACGGAAGCGGAAAGAGCCCAGCGACAGCGGCGCCAAACCCTTCCGGGCGGCCAGGAGGAGCGCTCGGTGGTGCCGGCAGAGGGCGGGGAGAACCGGCGGGCGGAGCGCGGGGTGGCTCCGGCAACGGTGCCCATGGCTGCCGCGGGGCGCGGAGCCGCGACTATGGCCCCGTGCGCCCCGGTCCGAGCGCGCCGAGCAACGGGCACGGGATGGGCGGTCGGGGCGGCCCCAGCGGTGGGCGCGGGACGCGGGGACAGCGCCCCCGAACCGGCGGGGCTGGGGCTCGGTGCGCGCCCCGCGGTTGGTGCGGGATGCGGGCTCGGTGCGCGCCGGCGGCGCGGGGCCGCGGGGAGCGTTGGCGCAACGGCGGCGGCGGTCGGGGAGCGGCAGCGCAGGGATGGAGCGCAGGATCCGCCACTGCCGCTTCCGCGCCCGGGCGAGCCCCACGTCGCCCCCCAGGCACATGGGCCCCCTCGGAGGGTTGCGTGTCCAAGTGCAGGAGCACCCGAGCCGGCTCGAAGGAGCAGTGAAGAAGAGCAGGTGCATCTCGGCTCCGGCGGCGGTTGAGAAGGAGGCCCGCGGCGCCATCAGGAGAGAAAGGGACCAAGAACGGGGCAGCGGGGACCGCCAGAACGACGAGAAGGTCCTGGAGCAAAGTGGTAATAAACCCTGGAGAACAGCTGCTGTCCAAACAGAGCGACCCAGCGTGACCTTTGAGGCCCGCCCAGTGAAAGTGGAGAAGAGCGATATCTCKGCTGGATCCCTGTGCGAGCTTGGGAACTCTCCTCAGGAGCAGAATATCCCGGTSTTGTTTCAGTCCTTACCTTCCAGGTCCCACGTACAGCTCCAAGGCSCTCTGCCCTCGCAGCTGATGCATGTGACTCCGGTGCCGGTAAAACAAGTGCCAGTAAAACAAATGCCACTTCAGTTGCAGCCTCTACTGCAGCGTCCCAAGATTGAAACGAAAAACATTCCCCTCACAGTCCTACCCTCGGATTCAGGTATTATGGTCAGAGAGTTTGSAAGGGTCCACTTCACACATGTGACAGGTTATCAGGTGAACATTGAGTAGAAAGGTCATGTTAGAGAACCATCCCTTTGGATAGGCTGGCTTTAGCACAACTTGCACAGCATAAGATACAAACGGAGCGCAGAGTTCTGTAGTGGTTTGTTACAATCAATGCAGTTTTGTCCACTTGCTCCCTGTCTGCATGAAACCCCTTAGAACAATGTTCAGAACTGCACTGAGTTGTGTTTGCAGTTTTAAACTCAGGAATCTGTTTGATTTTTAAAGCTACAAAGTAGTGTTACACCTCTGAGAAAATTTGGACATATTTAATGAAGAGCATTTTGAAACATCTGGATTAGAGGCTTTTTTAAAAAAAAAGTATCTAAACTTTCAAAATTAAATTCTTGAGCAAGGTCTCTTTTCCCTTTATTGGTGTGAAAGAGTTAATTTCTAAACCTTTTCCAGAGAGGAAATTGATTGCTCAGGGATCAGTTTTAAGGGGCCTGGGGATTTATCATGTTGCCAGCTCTATTTAAGTGCAGCCTGTGTTTACAAAGAGCCAAAGCTACATATCATGTGACAATCATTTGGGAGCACCGGTTCTTCCAACAAAATGAGTGTCCAAATCCAAGAAAGGGAAAAAAAAACCCCAAACCAACACAACAAAATGCAAACAGAAACCCAAAACAGCAACAACCTCTGCTGAAAAGGCAGGGACTGCACAGGTGTGGAACTAAAGARCCCTACCGTCCTTAGTGCTAGACCCTGCATCCTTAGGGCTTTGGATACATTGTTCTGGTGGGGATAACAAATTTGCAGTGATGTGGTCTCTGCTATATAACGTTTAGTTTATAAATTCATAAGAAAACAAGCCAACTGAAATCCAAACTGGTGTGTTAGCAGTCCCATGTTTCTTGCTTTTTTTAAAATTATATGTAATAAAAGCCAAGTAACTGATTCCTTGTGCAGTGACTCAGTGAAGGGCCATAGGGCATACTCAGCCTTCATTATTTTGTAGGAACTGCTCCCCAAATGTGCACTGAGTTTCATCTCTTCCAAAGCTCTCCTGATGCTGTTGCCAAATACCCTCTGGATGTAATATTGAATGTGACCTGCTGTATTCCCTGGAAGATGACGATCTCTCCTTGCCTTGTTGCTTGCACAGGGATGCCAGACACTCCATTCAGCAAGACCAAAAGTGGCCGTGTGAAGCGCCCGATGAACGCGTTCATGGTGTGGGCGCGGATCCACCGCGCTGCCGTGGCCAAAGCCAACCCGGGTGCCAACAATGCAGAGATCAGTGTCCARCTGGGCCTGGAGTGGAGCAAACTCACTGAAGAGCAGAAGCAGCCCTATTATGAGGAAGCTAACAAAATAAAACTGAGGCACAGGGAGGAATTTCCTGGTAAACATCTTATTTATTTACCCGAATGCTTTAGAAGTGCAAGGCTTTTTGGAAAATTGATCTCTTGCATTATAGCAAGTTGCAGAGATAGGAAAAAAAATTACAGCTATATCAAACGCACAATCCCGTGTGCCTGAAACCATTTTAATTTTTTAAAGCATTCAAAATGATGGTGCTTAGAATACTGCAGCTACAGAAATTCTTCTGAATACTTTAGCAGTCTAATGGCCAGARAATGAATTTGTTGTGAACACGACCAGCTGCATCAGTTTCCTTGCTCCAGAAGGAGCTGCCCAGGTGGCCTGTGGTGACACATGCATCCATTCCTTGAAAGCAGGAAAGGGAAATGTCACAGGAAGCACAAACAGCATTGTATTCTGTGGGATTCTTCAATGTGTAGACTTGGGGTTCCCAAATAATGGTGTGGAAAATGTTGTTTCCCAGTCTTTTGTCAAGTGTTAAAAATTCGTACTCAAGAAGTTCATTTATCCAGAAGGTAAAGGAGCATAAGTGCTTTGAACACTTTTAAAAAAGCTGTGGAGATACCAGGTGTAATGATCCTTTCTGTTGTCATAATGCTGCTAGTTCATGATCTTGTCTAATCTGTCRTAAACAAGGAAAAGAGCATCACTCTCCCTCTATCCCTTTTTCCTTGCATCCTTCAAAAGAAGAAAAAAAGTATTTCTTTAAAGTTTTATTAAGAATTAACCTGTGTAAGAAACCACTTTAAATTTATAATGTATTTTTATGTCTGTTAGTGTGTGATTAATGTTGTCAGACAAAGGCAAATGTACTCTTCCAAAATCTATCCAGGGTTCCTAGTGGGTCATATTTTCTGTTATGTCTCGTAACCTCTCTCTCTTGTGAGACTTTAAGGGGTTAAGGAAACAATGAGGAAAGATCCAAATTTTGAATAGCTGTGGTTTTCTTCCACACTGAAAGCTCACGCTAGAGTGAGTATCATGTTCTCCTTAATGTGCTTTCCTCAGCTGGGCCACGTCACTGCCCACTATTCTGTATTTCTTTATCTCACAAGCAAGTACTACTTGGTAACGTTTCATCAATTCCCAAATATTCCTATTTCATTCCCATCTGCAGTAAAATTCCCCATTTCCAGCTCACCAAAAGAAGTGGCATTGCCATTGCCTATAGGAGCAGCTTTTGGACTTGTCTTATCAGATCCTTCAGAATTAAAGATAACATAGCTTTAGATAAASAATAAGACCATCCAAAAATTTGGTGTCTGAATTTCTTTTCATCTCTGACAGGTTGGGTTTATCAGCCAAACAAGAAAAAGTGTTCTCCACCGCCTGGTTCTGCTGCATTTTCAGGCACTTCCCAGAGTACCATCACTACAAATCCAGCTGGCACCCTTCCCTTCTCATCACCTACTTACTCTTTTGTCAACTCCAAYGTTAAGAACGGTATTGGACGTCCAGTCTGTGAGTTTTCAGTAGTGAATTGTTTTAAAGATTCAGAATKTACCTGTTCTAGTAGGAGTTTGTATTTTCAAGAGCATGTAGAGGCAGGGCAAGAGGGAGTGGCTTCAAACTGAAAGAGTTTTAGATCAGATTTTGGGAAGAAACACTTTGCTGTGAGGGTGGTGAGGCCCTGGCACAGGTTGCCAAGAGAAGCTGTGGCTGTTGCCCAACATTTTCTCCACCTCACACTGGAAGGATCTTTCTTTTTACAAGGAAGTCCCTACTGGCAGTGATTTGGGGTGTAGTGGGAGGGCCTCCAGTCCAGTGTAAGAGCTGATCTGTGTATCCCTTTGTGAAAGAGCTCTTACTCAGTCCATGGATAGTGGATTTCAACAGCAAGTAACTCAAATCCAGTCAATCTGGATCCTGACAAGGGCTGCTTTCTTTACAATGAGACAAGAAWATGAAATGCCTGATTATGCTGTATGGTAATACTTGGAGATATTAAGAAAAAAAAAAGACCACTCAGCTTTTTCTGGTGAAGTTCTGAGTTAGTGATGTTTGAAAACTCTTAGGCAACGTGTTCTGAAATCTTTTCCTGTAAAGGCAGCCCTGTTGAGGTGTGATTTGAAAGTGTACATTGAAGTTTGTGCTCTGTAAAACATTTCAAAGGGGGATTGTCTAGTGGTTACATTCATTGGTGAAATAAGGAAACATTGGAGATTAGGGTGTTTTTATTGGAGATTARGGTGGTTTAGGCTCCTCACCATGCAGATTTATTACAAATTCAGCTCACTCCAACTTGGTAGACTTGTGAGAACTTCTGAGCTTCAGGCATTGAAGGACAAGACATAGCCCTCACCAGACCCACAGCACTAACACTCATTAGCCACTTCCACTTCCTTTGAGTTTCTGTGGAAGGAAGCTTTAACATGTGGGCTCCAAATCCACATATTGGTTACATGACATGAGTTGCTGGGAAACAGCTGGMAAGAGATTATTCTGTTTCTGCTCAGAAGTGCTGTGGTTTGCTCTGTGCTGCTGTTTATTGRAACTCTGTTTCATGTCTGATAAAATAACTGTTTTGTTTCCTGAAGGTGAGTCTTCTGCCATCCGTCTGCCAGCTTCTTCCATCCAGCACGCTGGRCCCATGACTCTTTTCCAGACCACGGCTGCAAGCACCACCTCAGTGGCTGTTGCAGTCCCAACCCTGCCCCTGCGCCCTGTGGTTTCATCACAGCACTTTGCAGAACCTGCTCAGACAGAAGCTTTTGTATCGTCGTCTGGGCTCAATTTCTCCCTGAAGAGACCTGCGCCYGTTTTCGCTGAGAGCTTCAGCAGCAGAAACCCAAGCAACACCGGTGGCAGGTTTTCTGTGTCTAACAGTGAGATTCCAGGGATTTCTGTTTTTCCTAGAGGCATAGCTCTTCCCCAGGCTACCCCTTTTATTCCYTCATCCGCCTACGTGTCAGCTCCCGTTGGACAACCAGCCAGTCTGTTTGGAGGAACTCCTCAGTTTCCATTTTGCCACCCTTCCTTTATACCTGGACCTCGCTGTTTCCCCTCAAGGTAACGAAACCATTCCAATACCAGTAAGAAYAAATGCTGAAAGGCAGAGAGTTTTTTGATTTGCAGAAAGCAGATGGAGCATTCAGAAGGAAAAGAGCTCTTACCTTCCTGTAGCTGCTGTGTGGTGTGACCCCCTGGCCTCAGGCTGCTCGTAATAGGTGCCCAGTTATTGAAGGCTCCGTAGAATTATTGCAGTAATTGGCACTCCCAAGGCCATGGAAAACAGAAGTATGTTCTTTCCACTTTATGGGTCTAAGTGCAGTTGATTTCTGCAGAAGAGCATTAGGTAGAGATAATGTAAATGTATTTTGAAAAAGGTCAGATAGAATTAAAGTAGGTGCATCCTGGAGATGGTCTCCTGGGTAAACTATGATGGCCAGAAGTGCTAGTATTTCTGAAATCCAGCCTGGTGGGAAGTGTCTGCAGAATTCTTATGTAAGTAGAAATTTCTAGATCTTCCTTTTCAGTCTCTGAACAGTCAACCTCTGAGAGAGGAGTGTTCTTGCAGCATAAAAGACTTTCGTGATTTCATACATTAATGGACTTCTGAAAGCTGCCCGCTTTGCTAATGCCAGGGTCTTTATAATACAATAATTTATAAGTTCACTATCCTATAAATTCATTTCTTGCATACAAGAACCATGATTTCCGAACTGAAAGTGCAGATGTATGCAATAAAAATTTAAATATTAGATTGGAATGATGAGTAGTCCCCTTGAAACTTCGATAGATATTGTGTCAATGCCTTTACCATGTCTGCACTGTACAGTTCTATTACTTCTTCAGATATTTTGTTTTCTCCACAATGAATTTCTCTAAAACACTGTAAATCACAATCCCTGTGTCATTCTGCATCAGAATAAAAATTCAAGCATCTGCCACTGGAGGAATACAGTTCCATTTGACATAGTAACTTCCTGCAATCTACTATGTGGTTACTTTTTAAAAATTTATCACTGCATTCTTTAAATATTAACGTTGCCAACCACATATTGGKCACAAGGATTCCCTGTCCTGTTTATTACAGTGTAACAGATGCAAGAGCTCACCAAAAATAATAAATAAGAGCGTTATACCACAGGTCTGTCACAAATTTTGCTATACAGACATTACACAAATGGACTTTTGATTATTTGTTTTATTCATTTTTTATGTTGGTTAACTCACTGCAGGCTGGTTTATCCATTATTTTATTGATAAATACAGTGGGGTTTATCTTTGTTCTCAAAGCAACCTCGTGTGTGTATGAGGTTGAAGAGATGCTTATGCACAGATATTGAATTTGGAAGACGCTTGTATGATCCTAGTGCTGAAATTAGGCATGGTTTTAAAGTTTGTATGTTTTAAAAAATAAATAAGGATAAGCTGAATAGCACAAGATCAGGGTCCTTATGCAGTCCTGCATTTCTGAAACCCAACTGTGAATCTCTTTCCTTGCAGCACATTCCCACTCAGAGCTCCGTTCAGCTACGGGAATTTCTCCAGCTCAGTGCCTCAGTGCTTTGGCTTTTACGAAGAGAGGAACCAAAGGCAGGAGGTGATATTTTCCACTCTGGATGAAGACTATCGTTTCAGGACCTACTCAGACGAGAGGCTGCGTGAGAACCAGCACGTGTGTGAGAGCCCTGGGCTTGTGTCCTGTCAGAGCACCTGCAGCGAGGAGAGAGTTTTGAGCCCCCTGCCACAGCTGGACGTGGAAGTGGTCGAGGAGGTTTTGCCATCCCCCCCATCTACTCCTTCCAGCACTTACATTGTCAATGTAACTGATAGTGATGAGGAAGAAGAAGTAAAGCTTTTTCAAGTATTGTAATTTTTAGAACAGATTTTATTCCATAGAGATATGAAATGGGAAATAAATGTTTTCCTCAACACCACCTTTTCAGTCAGTGTGTTCAGTGGGAAACCCAGGTGGCTTTAGTAAGTTGAACAGGTCATTTTGAAGAGTCTGATGAGCTGTTTGGACAAGAGGAAAGTCTTATAAATAGTAGAAAATGCCTGTTCATTTCTAAATTCTCACTGAAAGCTGATCTGGCCTGCAGGAATGCATGKGGCCAAATGCACTAATTCCTCCACAAGTATGTTTCCGGGTATAAAACAGCTGTTTGTGGGATCATTCTCTAAATCTAAGTTTTGTCTTCTCCCACCTTTCCTTTTATACCCTGTGGAGTAGGATATGAGACATATTTTAGTGCACCAGAATCTAGAGCAACTGTTGTGTTTAACTCTACCAGGCTCAGAGGAAGATGGTTTAACACATCCTGGATGTACTAATGGGAAACTAAATGTAAGGGTGATCCCTTCTTCCTCCCAGCCAGAGCTGATGTTTTGGGCTGGTTGTCAGGGATCTGTGTCTGCAGGTCTGTCCCTGGAGTCAGCCCTCAGCTGAGTCTCTTGGAGGTTCTCATGTCTCATTTACAGAAGTGAAAATTACACAAACAGCTCACTCAAACGTGGCTTCCTCTGCATCATCCTTCAGCATCCTCTGGCAGCTCTGCAGCAAGGAAAATATGATAGAAGAGGTTTTTAGTTTCCATTTCTAGGTCATTTTCAGCTCACCTACAAACTTCTAAATGCAGATTYCTTCTCCTCTTGCAATGTGTGATGTGGCCAGTCTAGGCCAGCACGGGCAGAGCCACTCCCTTGGTGACCCTGTGCCCTCCTGCAAGCTTTCACAGCAGTGCAGAGGGTAATTGGGAGATAAGAGGGACATGTTCTACTCTTTTATAATTATTTTCTTCTTTACTGTTTACCTTAATCTAAACTAAAAACCACCTTTCATCCTTCTCAGCTTGAAAAACAGGTGCAGATTTTCTCTACAAAATTTGTTTTCCTCCATTTATAGAGACAACTTTCTTCTCCAAAATCACTGGATTTTTATGGATTGGATGTTATTAAAAGCCCATGTGCTGATACACCTGTTTCCTTTCTCTTATGAGAATGAGCTGCTTCAGTATAATCCCCGTTGTGTTTTAGAAGTTTGACAGGCAGCACAGGGAGGATTACAGCATTTCTCATGTGGAAATACAGTTGGAGATGTGTCTGCAGATAAAACCTTCAAGTTCACTTGCCTGTAGGAATGAAACAAAAATCATAGCAGAAAGTGGTAGCAGTGCCCCACCATTTCAGAGGAGCCCAGAGAGAGCTTTGATACCCTTTTGCTATCAGCACATCGGGACAAGCCTTTGGCTAGCTCCTGATCATCTTACAGCACTTCTCCCTCTTTGGCAGGACAGCTGTTCCAGGGCCTTTCCAAATGTTCCTGCTGTCCCACATGGGTGGTGGAAAACCAGAGCTAAACAGAGTATTCTGGGTCAGCTGTAGCTGTTCTTAAATGTGAAGGCTCAGGGTAAAGCAGAATGTTGTTAAATCTCCGGTTTCCCYCACGGATTCACAGCCTCCCTCCTTKGATCATTTCAAATGATCTGAACAAGAAGAATGTTCTGTAAGATGGGAGATTTCCCATTCCACTCAAGCCAGCCAAAGTCCTGACATTTCTCTCATCAGTGAGTGTCTGTAATGCAGAAATTAGGCAGGACAGTCTTCTCCCTTCTCCTGCCACGACTTTGATTCTGGGTAACGTTTCCTTCAGTGTCAGCAGGAATCTTTTCAGAGCACTTTGTTCCACAACCTTTCCTATCTCTGACGAGAGTTCCAATGAAATATTAGGGAGCTCTGATACACGTCCAAGTCATTCTCTGCTCAACTCTGTTTCTTGAACTGGCATTCTCCTCTCTAGCTCCATTTCCTTCTAGGTGCCTAATTCTTAATTTATTATGAATAAAAATGGAGAATCATCACCTTTTGCTCTCCAGCTAACAGCAACAGCATTAAATCATCTTGCAAATGGTCAAGAAAGTGCAGAGCACCCTTTGCAAAAGCTCAGTTGTGCCCTGGGGAGGCTGAAACACCTCATTGTCGAGCCTAAAGAAGAACCCTTGCTGCAGGTGCTGCACAGAGGATGCTGCTCCATGCCTTGGCCCCGGGGCATGTAACAGATGAGGGAACAGAGCAGACTTCAAATTCTCAGCTGATGCTTTTAATCAGGCAGTTTGGATCATGGAGGAAATGAGTCTGAGCCTGTGTAATCTTTAGATAGCCAGAAGTCTGACCTTTTTCTGTGAAATCCAGCAAATGTGGAAGAGCTTTTTGAAGAGGTGGGCACAGGGCAAGATCTGACTCACCCTGTGCCAGAAGCAGTGTCACAACACCTAAGTGCTGTTAATAAGCACTGCAAATAATCCTGAATCTGTCCATGCAACAATGTCTCAGTAACGTAAATTATATATGTATATATATTTATATTAACCTGATATATATATTTATATATTAACCTATATATAGCCACTGCACAGCCTGTCGTTATATTTTTATACAGGGGATTTCTGGTGATTATAAATTAAGACATCAATTCTCATATTACAAGATCCAAAGATATAAATATCATTATACTACAAATGCAAATATTGCACATATTTTATTTTTATGACACTTGAATGCTGAAAACCATAAGAAGCAGATAGTTGTTGGCCTAAATATTCTACTAAACTTAAAACAATGCTTCTTTTATTATATTTTATGCTTTTTTGAGCTGATTTGCTTTTAGAGAAATATATGAAGCAGTCCCTTTGAAGATTTGTTGTACTGAGAAAGTTTGTGACAATCTTTTAGTACAAGCATATATGTTCCACATCAAAATGTTTCATTTTTTTTCCTTTGGGTAGATAGAAATTTTATCCAGGGATGAAAGCAGAGTAGCTAAATTTGTGTCTAAATTTGGCTTGCATTTTTACTTATTTATAATATGGACATGCACAATAGTGCCATTGTTTTTTTCTATATTACAGGCAGCTATAAATAAGTGGGGGAATTCACAGGAAAAAAAAAATCAAAATTTCCCTTCAGGATATTCCATATGATTAGAAAAGAGCTGAAATTTTGCCCCTGTATTTTTGTTCTGGGAAACAACGAGATTTACTTGTGTCATGAAAATTCATGACCTTTCTGTGGGTCAGCTAAAATGTTATTTATGGCCCTCTCACCCTGATTATTCCCTTTAGGCATCCCTACAGTGCCCTAACTTTCCTGTGCCAGGGTGATACCAGGAATAACCTGACCTTCACAAGATTAGAGGTGTTCAGTGTGGGAAGTGAGGGGGCACAAAGGGGGCATGTGTGAACTGTGGACCAAAACGGTATCTGCAAATGGAAACAGTCACATTTCCTCTGGGCAGCCATGGCAGGAGCCAGCAAGACCTTCAGAACAAGAGAGATTAGAAGTTTCAATAGCATAAATAATTCTCTGGACAAAAGACAAAATCATTGCTGTTATCTGGCAAACCTTTACTTTAAAGGGAGTATTCATTTCCTACCAGGCTGATTTACTGCTACACTCTGAAACCTATCCAGGTGCAAATTCTCCCCATTTCTCATTTCCCTGGTGGTTTACCAACACAACCACTTTAACTATAGAGATGAATGGGAAGGGTTGAATGCACAAAGCAGATCAATGTCTGTCTGAAGAGTAGGGCTAAGAGGTAATGGCACTTCCTGCCACTCGGAGCTGACCCCATAAAAATCCCTGTCAGTCAGCCCTTGAGTGGGGCTGCAGTTGAACTGCCTGGGAGTCACTGACACGGGGAATGCAGTTATTTTCTGTGAGCTCAGCATGTGCAAGGAGCTTCTAGAGCACCTCGGAGCTCCAGTGTTTGCAGCTGGTGATCCCAGCGTGGCCCCATTAATTTGGGCTCTCCTCTCCTGCACCCCTGAGCCCGCAGGCTGATTGAGCAGTGAGACACAGAGCCGGGCAGTGCTCTTAGTGCTGGGCTCCCTGAAGGGCACAGATCCAGCAAAGAGATTGTTTGTGGGCTTCAAGCCATGGCTCAGCCCTGAAGGAAGCAGGAGAAGGCAGGGATGCTCTTTTGGGAGCCTCGGGGCAGTGAGTGGATATCCCTGATGGGCAGCACAAGGAATATGAGCTGTGGGTGTTCCCAAGTCCTTCCTCAAGCCTTGCCCTTCCATCGACCATCGGGGAGAGGCAGTGAACATCCTTTTGCTTCTGCCCTTATTTACAGGCACACAAAAATCTACCCGGTATCCCCTCAGCTGTCTGGGAGTAATGCATTTCCCAGGAGTGGAGAGATTTAAGATGTCTCTGAACGACGGACTCAGCTATTATAAGAGTGAACATAAATATAGCAAACAAATAAATAAACAACTCTTCAGCCTCTTGAGCTCCTTCCTTCCCGCAGCTCTCCCCTCTTTCCTAGCWTTGGAGGCACAATGGATTTCCGTGCTGGCGAAGGCGCTGAAGGGGGGGTTTGCAGAGGGAGCCCCAGGGAGGTGCTGAGGCTTCCCCGGAGCGGGGACAGAGCCCCGAGCAGCCCCGTAACGCAGGGCAGAGCCTCTGGAGCACCGGGAACAATCCCGGCATGAGCTGACAGAGAAGAGAGGAGGGGGCTGCAGGGCGGACGCGGAGCGGTGGGAGGAGAAAGCGGGTTTATAGGGCGGGTTTATAGGGCGGCGGCGGCGGCGGAGCGCGGTCCTTGCCCGGAGCCATGCGGGGCCGGGGGCTGCTCTGCGGCATCGCCCTCTCGCTGCTGCTGCGGCCGCCGCCCCGTGAGTGCGGGGTGCTCGCTCTGAGTGCAGGATTGTCTGAATGCGGGGTGCTCGCTCTGAATGCGGGGTGCTCGCTCTGAATGCGGGGTGCTCGATCTGAGTGCGGGGTGCTCGATCTGAGTGCGGGGTGCTCGGCCTGAGTGCAGGATTCTCTGAGTGCGGGGTGCTCGGCCTGAGTGCAGGATTCTCTGAATGCGGGGTGCTCGCTCTGAGTGCGGGGTGCTCGCTCTGAGTGCGGGATGCTCGGCCTGAATGCGGGGTGCTCGGTCTGAGAGCAGGATTCTCTGAATGCGGGGTGCTCGGTCTGAGTGCGGGGTGCTCGGTCTGAGTGCGGGGTGCTCGGCCTGAATGCGGGGTGCTCGCTCTGAGTGCGGGGTGCTCGCTCTGAGTGCAGGATTCTCTGAATGCGGGGTGCTCGGTCTAAATGCGGAGTGCTCGGTCTAATTGCAGGATTCTCTGAGTGCGGGGTGCTCGGCCTGAGTGCAGGATTCTCTGTCTGTGTGCGGGATTCTCTGTGTGCGGGATTCTCTGTCTGAGTGCGGGGTGCTCGCTCTGATTGCAGGATTCTCTGATTGTGGGGTGCTCGGTCTAATTGCAGGATTCTCTGAGTGCGGGGTGCTCGGTCTCAGTGCGGGGTTCCCGGCCCGCGATAGCCCCGCCCCCGAGCTCCGGGGAGGGAGCGCCCGGGGAGGAGGGATGGATGGATGGATGGATGGATGGATGGATGGATGGATGGATGGATGGATGGATGGATGGATGGATGGATGGNGAGGTGTTCAGTGTGGGAAGTGAGGGGGCACAAAGGGGGCATGTGTGAACTGTGGACCAAAACGGTATCTGCAAATGGAAACAGTCACATTTCCTCTGGGCAGCCATGGCAGGAGCCAGCAAGACCTTCAGAACAAGAGAGATTAGAAGTTTCAATAGCATAAATAATTCTCTGGACAAAAGACAAAATCATTGCTGTTATCTGGCAAACCTTTACTTTAAAGGGAGTATTCATTTCCTACCAGGCTGATTTACTGCTACACTCTGAAACCTATCCAGGTGCAAATTCTCCCCATTTCTCATTTCCCTGGTGGTTTACCAACACAACCACTTTAACTATAGAGATGAATGGGAAGGGTTGAATGCACAAAGCAGATCAATGTCTGTCTGAAGAGTAGGGCTAAGAGGTAATGGCACTTCCTGCCACTCGGAGCTGACCCCATAAAAATCCCTGTCAGTCAGCCCTTGAGTGGGGCTGCAGTTGAACTGCCTGGGAGTCACTGACACGGGGAATGCAGTTATTTTCTGTGAGCTCAGCATGTGCAAGGAGCTTCTAGAGCACCTCGGAGCTCCAGTGTTTGCAGCTGGTGATCCCAGCGTGGCCCCATTAATTTGGGCTCTCCTCTCCTGCACCCCTGAGCCCGCAGGCTGATTGAGCAGTGAGACACAGAGCCGGGCAGTGCTCTTAGTGCTGGGCTCCCTGAAGGGCACAGATCCAGCAAAGAGATTGTTTGTGGGCTTCAAGCCATGGCTCAGCCCTGAAGGAAGCAGGAGAAGGCAGGGATGCTCTTTTGGGAGCCTCGGGGCAGTGAGTGGATATCCCTGATGGGCAGCACAAGGAATATGAGCTGTGGGTGTTCCCAAGTCCTTCCTCAAGCCTTGCCCTTCCATCGACCATCGGGGAGAGGCAGTGAACATCCTTTTGCTTCTGCCCTTATTTACAGGCACACAAAAATCTACCCGGTATCCCCTCAGCTCTCCGGGAGTAATGCATTTCCCAGGAGTGGAGAGATTTAAGATGTCTCTGAACGACGGACTCAGCTATTATAAGAGTGAACATAAATATAGCAAACAAATAAATAAACAACTCTTCAGCCTCTTGAGCTCCTTCCTTCCCGCAGCTCTCCCCTCTTTCCTAGCTTTGGAGGCACAATGGATTTCCGTGCTGGCGAAGGCGCTGAAGGGGGGGTTTGCAGAGGGAGCCCCAGGGAGGTGCTGAGGCTTCCCCGGAGCGGGGACAGAGCCCAGCGCAGCCCCGTAACGCAGGGCAGAGCCTCTGGAGCACCGGGAACAATCCCGGCATGAGCTGACAGAGAAGAGAGGAGGGGGCTGCAGGGCGGACGCGGAGCGGTGGGAGGAGAAAGCGGGTTTATAGGGCGGGTTTATAGGGCGGCGGCGGCGGCGGAGCGCGGTCCTTGCCCGGAGCCATGCGGGGCCGGGGGCTGCTCTGCGGCATCGCCCTCTCGCTGCTGCTGCGGCCGCCGCCCCGTGAGTGCGGGATGCTCGCTCTGAGTGCGGGGTGCTCGGTCTAATTGCAGGATTCTCTGAATGCGGGGTGCTCGGTCTGAATGCGTGGTGCTCGGTCTGAGTGCAGGATTCTCTGTCTGTGTGCGGGATTCTCTGTCTGTGTGCGGGATTCTCTATCTGTGTGCGGGATTCTCTGTCTGAGTGCGGGGTGCTCGCTCTGATTGCAGGATTCTCTGATTGCGGGGTGCTCGGTCTCAGTGCGGGGTTCCCGGCCCCCGACAGCCCCGCGCCCGAGCTCCGGCTGCGGGAGCGCCCGGGGAGGGGGGTTGGATGGATGGATGGATGGATGGATGGATGGATGGATGGATGGATGGATGGATGGATGGATGGATGGATGGATGGATGGATGGATGGGTTGGACTGGGGGATCCTCCTGCTTTTCTTACAGCAAACACAAAGCTCCCTCTCCTCTCCCACCCCGGCTTGGTGCTGCCCGATCCCGGGGTGCGGAGGGCCCGCGGGTGCTGAGCCGCTCCTCTTTTCTCCGCAGCCGCCGCCGCTGAGATGCAGCTCCAGCCCGAGGTGGTGGTGCCGCGCTGGGCAGCCCCGGGCGGCCCCGACAGCCCCAAGGTAGGTCGCGCCCAGCGCTTCTTTTGTGTTTTGTTTTTTGCAGATTTACCTTCCCTGGGGCAAGGGGATGTCGCGGGTGGCACCGCGCCCGGCGATGCGCGTTTGGGGTTTGTGCCGATGAGGCGCGGGGATGAGCCGGGAGGCGCCGCAGCTCCTCCAAAGCCCAGGAAAGGCTGTGTGAGCTGGCTGGCAGATCTGGGAACTGCATCCACCCTGCACTCTGCCATGCTTTAAAGCCTGGCTCTGTATCTACCGAATCTGTGTCTGTGAAAGGGGAGCAGGGCTGTACAATCAGTGGCATTTAGGGCTCGCTGGATAGAAGGATCTGCTGCAGAAGATAAGCCCAGAAAGCCATCTGTGTCCTGGGCTGCATCAAAAGAAGTGTGACCAGCAGGTCAAGGGAGAGGGTCCTGACCCTCTGCTCTGGTCAGGTGAGCCCCACTGCAGTGCTGTGTCCAGGATCCACAGCACAGAAAGGACATGGACCTGTTGGAGCCAGGCCAGGGCTGGGCAGTGAAGATGCTCTAAGAGCATCCTATGAGAGCATCCTATGAAGACAGATGGAAAAAGTTGGGGTTGCTCAGCCTGAAGAAGACTCTGGAGAGATTTTGTAGCACCTTTCAGTACCTAAAAGAGCTACAAGAGAGCCAGACAGGGACTTTTCACAAGAACAAGAGAGAAAGGGGTGAGGTATACATTAGATATTAGGAATAGATTTTTTGACTGTGAGAGTGGTGAGGCCCTGGAAKAGGTTGCCCAGAGAAGCACCACCCCTGGATGTGWGCAAGGCCRGGCTGGAAAGGGTTTTGAGCCATCTTTCCTCATGGAAAGTATTCCAGCCCATTGGCATGGGGATGAGAGGATCTTTTAGAYCCCTTCCAACCCAAAYCRTTCTCTRGTTCTGTGAATCCCAGCTGTGAGGCTTCACTGGGTAAGCAAAGCCATCCAGCAGCTCCGGTGTCACTGTCAGTACAGATCTCACCCCTGCTGCTGTTGCATAGATGGATGAAGTGATGTGTCAATAGTCTCAAAAATTCTCACAATCACTGGGGTCCAGGCAACATMAAACACAAAACAGAGTTCAGTTTCTCAGGGTTGGTGTTGCTGCAATCAAGAAGTAATTGCAGTTGCATGATGAAGTGAAAGAGGAAAGTCCAGAGAGTGTTTTTGACGCTGAGAACAAAAAAAAAGGGAAGCTAGAGCATTATGGAGAGATGCACTTTCCTTGAATTAAGTGGTGTTATTTGGGATGAATGGGYCTTTTCCCTATGATGAGACTTTCTAAAACTCATCATTGTGTCATATTACACATGCAGAAAGCTACAATGATTCTCTCATGATCTCAATTCTCTTGCAATGCTGCTGCAAGTTTGGGTTCTGTTATTGATGGTGATGCAAATACATCTGCACAGCGTTTCCCCTTATACAAATTTGTTGAGTCTCAGGGGTCGCACTTGGTTTGTTTTAGGCAATTCCTGTTGGCTCAGAAATGAGTGTTAGCAAAGCTTCTATGCAGCTGGGATATTTCATTTACAGAGCAATTGATGGATTCTGAAGCAGTGGGATTACTGAAGGAGAAGGGAGGGTGATTTTAATAATAATGTGTTTGCACAACCATTGTGAAGAGACTTTTGTGATGATGGAGACCCTCAGCTAAGGGCAAGGCAAACTCCTGTGCTTTCATTTTAGGGAAACAGAGACCTGCCCTGAGATGAACTGAGCACCTGTGATTCAGTAAATGAAACTCTGSCTCTTGCAATTATCCCTTATTGTATACCCTAAATGTATTAACTTGTTTTGCATCATCTGTGTGGGCCTGGTGCCACATCCTGGAAACCGATGGAAGGATGAGCAAAACCCAGAATRTGAGCAGGGAGCTGATGAAAAGAGACATTTGTTTTTGATGAAATGGCAAGTGAGCATATCTCTGGCCTGACAGAAAGTGCCATTCAGTCAGCCTTGCTTTATTTCACTTTCAGTGTTCTGTTCTGCAAAGTCTCCTCCAACGCWGATTTAGAAAATACCATGGGTTAACAATTTCATCAGCCCTCATGATTTTTTTTTTCTTTCAGATGAATAGAGAAGCACATTGGTACAGTAATATGAATTATTTCTTTCCCGGGGAATATTTTCATCCCTTTCTTTATGAGAAAGCATTCAGACTCAGAAACCCCAGCTGACTTTAGGCAGTGGCTCTGCTTTAAATGAAGATAAACTGCAGTGCCTCTTCTAGTTGATCCTCTAAGAATCTTATTTTCTAAGCTTTCAGTGTCTGGAAAAATTCTTTCTTTTTTCAATATTGGGGTTAGTGCATGCATTTGCCATTGCACCAAGGAATTGAGGTGCATTCTGTTTGAACCAGCAGAGCTTGGGGAGGCTATGGCTTTCCTGTGTGCTGCTGTGAAGCCAAATTGSAAACCAGGGCTGTGGTGTGTGTCTGAACACAGTGCAGAGTGCTGTCATGGTTCCCTGGGACTAAAACAACAACAGCTGTGAAATACTGCTGCAGTCTGGAGGCATCCGAGGGACACTGTTGCTGCCTTTTACTGGCACTTTCTGTGAGCAAAGGAACGATGTGAAAATCTCTGAGAGGCGTGATTCCTCTCCTCCTGAAATAGGCTCCTAAAAATGTCTTTCTGCTGTGACAACAAAGGAAGCTTTGGTTAACCAGCTCAGATGTTTGACTCTTCAGCCTCTGGGGCGAGTTGGGATGTGCTGTGATGTGGTGCTGAGCACAATGKACAAGAGAAGGAGGTGCAGGGAACTCTTCCCACCCAACTGCACCACCAAGCACCCCAAACCCAGGACTTGTTGCCTTGTCTGAGCACATTATTCCTCCTGAGACACCAGGAGGTGTTTCTAGCTCTGCCTCCTGGCTCTGCATGGCTGTGCTGTGGGATGCAGGGATCCTCCTGGAGCTGAGAGCCACCGTGGCACATCCCTTCCCTTCCCCATCACTCCAGTCTGATGTAGGATGTGGCACATCCCTTCCCTTCCCCATCACTCCAGTCTGATGTAGGATGAAGGCAAGGGGTGGTTTAAGGTCAGCTGCAGTTTCCAGGGGAGCAGTTTGTGTTTGTGGGTGATGCACGAGTAACAGGCACCCTCTCTCTTGCACACAGCATCCACTCCGAGCTGAAGTTACAGTACAGGCAGAAGGCCAGAAGCTCGTCTTGGAACTGGAGAAAAATAGGTAAGTGCCCTGCATTGTGATCCCACTTAAATMATGAATAAGGATTACGGTGAGATCAACAGGAAAACATCCACTGACTTCAACAGGGGCTTGATAARGACAGGATGAGGAAATCCTTCTCTGGATTTCAAGGTTATTCCAAGTCTCAGTCCCCTCAGATGTTAATCAGCCAAGCAGCACGGACTGTGGCAGAGCTTTGTCTTTGTCAGCAAAAAACAGATGGTGACCTGGCCCTCAGTGCGTAAACTTATTTTTGCATCATAATTCTTCCTACATTAAGTGGAAGATGTTTCTGATATGAAGCTCCCCATTTACCAAATGGCTCAGTGCTTTGGAGTCAGCGTGACTCTAATGAGGATTTCATKCGCTGTGATCCAAAGAGGTCCTGCTCTGCTTCCTGGGAGAAATGATCTGACAGTTTYGATTCCATTAGTGCCCTTCATGCTAAAATAGACTGAAAAATTGGTTTTGCATTAAGTGAAATGCAGCCTCCTCTGAGGTGTGTGTGACCAAAGCTGTGTGGTATCATAGAGGGTGRTGCATGTTGAATTCAGCTGAAACTGCAGGAGATTAAGAGAGAAGGATTCTGGTCTGGAGGCCACCCCAGAGCCCCTCTCCCCTCTGAGTACATTAATTTCCAGTGGTGGAATAGCAGCTGGGGATTTAGCTGCAAGAAGCTTTTGTCTTTGCTCTTTGCACTGTTGGCGTTTTATTTGTTTTTAAATGGGTTTGAAGATTTATGTRTGGAAATACAACCAAATGTTTGTCTGCTAGAATCAGTAGGGATAATAACCTCAGACTAATGACCCTGGTTATATTTTAAATGTATTGTATGGACATCCCAAACACAGAGACTGAGGGCTCAGCTTTCCTCCTGAAAGAGTGAAGTGTCGGTAAATCTTATTAATTGTGATGGCAGTGCATAAACCTAAATGATGTTCAGGGTGTTTTGGAGACAAACCAGGGTTGGTTTTTTTTTGTCACTGTCTTCAATAAAGGCTGAAATGTGATGGCTGATGAAAGGTGAATACATCCTATGAGGTGTTTTCTGTAAAAAGTCACAAAGTTCCAGTGCTGCAAAAGCTGAATGCTTTTCACAGGCAATCATACACCTGTGCAGAACTAAGCTGAAACAGCTATAAATCCTGAGGGTTTTAGCATATTTCAGCTGAGAAAATAAGACCAGCCACTTTAAACACCATGAAGTCAGTCCTGCTGGAGAAATAGCTGCTGCTGCTGACAGTGGTACCGTGCCAGGTCTGAGCTGAGCCTGGAAGCAGCACAAGCTCTGATGCTGCTGGGGGTCTCCTTCCAGGACTGTCAGACCTTGCTGATTCTGCAGTTGCTATCCAAAGGTGAATATTTCTGGCACAGCAGAAGGATCCTTGCTGAGTTGATCCATTTGTGCTCCAAGCCTGGTGATGTCACCTCCAGGTGCCTGCGGGAGCTGTGCTGTGCTATTTCCAGCCCAGAAAAACCCATTGCTGGTGTTAGTAAACAGAGTTATAATAATAGAAGGTTTCCATTGTGTTTATTTCCTGAAATGCATTTTCATTCATTGAGATGTATACACACAGGCTTAAGTGTGTGCACACAGTTCCACTGCAGATTCTCTACTAGTGCTGATGAAATACAGCAACTGGTTTGGAGATTTTGAATTTTTATTCCCTGTGGACAATGCAGGTGATTCATAGACAGCCGTGCTTCATGTGGGAGTCTTGCCAGGCCTCAAGTCCTTGCTCAAGGAAGGYGATGGTGCAGTCCCAAAATGCAATTAGTGGGAAGGCAATTAGCTCTCAGAGACTTGTGAAAGTGCAGAAGTAGTTTAGAGACTTAAATTAAAAGAGGAACGATGAAGTCCCTGGGAACCCAGTGAATTTATGAGCATTTGTAGGGCACTTTCAAGTGGAAGCAAAGCTCTTCTCCTTACTAAAGAGCATGGCAAGGCAGAGCCCAGCCTGGCTCCTCGCTTTCCCAGCCTGGGGCTGCTCCACAGCAATCAGGAGCTCATCACTGCTCTTGATTATTTTACAGGGAATGATGAGGTCCTGGCTTAGGTTTGGGGTACTGAGTAACTGCAGCATCCAGGACTTGTTGTGGGAATAATTTATTGCTCAGGAAGCAGGAGAGAAAGCGAAATCCCTCAAGTGGGAAGTGTCCCCTCAAAGCTGTCCAAAACCTGTCTGCTCTGGGTTTCAGGTTTACAGGAAAGTGGACACAAGGGAACTGCAACTTCAAGGAAAGTGCTTGAGGCTTTTAAAATGAAAATAAGCCCCAGAGTACTTGGTCAYTTAATGTTTGCAGTTTAGAGGAGCAATTTGGAAACCAGCTTTGCTGCTGAGGTTGGTGCTGTGCTCCCCCYCAGTCCCTGGGCTCAGCACAGGGGTGGGAATGTACCTGGTCCCATTTTACTCTTGTATCCACATCTCAGACTCCCATCATTCAARGAAAGCATGGAATGATTGGGTTTGGTTGGGCTATGATTTACCCAATGGTTCCCAAAACTAGAAAGGAGATATRCCAAACTGCTGGAACTGCTTCAGGTGATGCTCTCGGTGGATCATTCACCACTCTCCTTATGGACAGACAACTGATAAAATTGCTTTCAAAAGTGGGGGAAGTGTCATAATCCGTAATTTGGTGGGGATGAACTAGCTTTGGAACAATCATTCTATTTTTAATATGTGGAAGAAATGTTCACACCATCYGATTTCATATTCCTTTTGCAAAGGACATTGTGTTCATCCACAGAGGTGAAACASAGAAATTATTGCACATCTTGCTTCAGAGATGAGCACAACCCCATGTTTTGTAATAAGCTCAGCACACATCTGCATTTGGGCTTCATATATCTGTGAATACAATTATTGCATTAGCAGTGAACATAAYATTGCATTATTTCCTGTCAGGAGTTTGATAAAAAGGCAGAACCACRCTGGAGTTCCAAGCAGAGTTCATGACACACTAACATTTCAGAATAACGACAGAATACGACTCAGGCTTGTTTTAAATGACTCAAAATCATGTCCTGCAGCTGTGRGACTGGAAAGCTCAAAGCTGCACAAACAACAAATATATGGAGAGTTGCCTATAAAGCAGCTTTAAATTTGGCTGGGGCTTAGGAGCGGAAGAATCTGACTTGCAAACCTTGGATGAAAAGTGACTTTTTTTTTAAAAGGCATTTGCATTTGTTAATAAAAAGCAGCTTTGAGCCAAGCAGGRAGAGACTGAGAGCCTCTCAATGTGTGTGGCAGCATTGCCTGCTGTGAGCCTTTTCTTACTGAAGAGGAGAGCTCACATTTGCACAGCAGAAACCTGCATGGAATTTGTCTTCTCACCTCAGTGCAGATATCATTATGACTTTCCTCCCTCTCCTCTTCCTCTTTGTGTTTTTTTCATGGGAAGAACAGACTTAGGAAAGGCCCTCTCAGCTGTTTTCAGGCCCCTCTGATAAGCAGCAGTATCATTTCCAATCTCTGCTGGCCCCACCTGGGTGAGGAGGTTCCCACCCTGCTGATGCTCTCAGTGGTGCAGTAAAAGATTGAGTGTGTCACTCGTATTTTAGTGTTTCCTGCCTTTGCACATTTCCAGGACCTCTCCTACCCACCAAGTGAGGAAGTTGCTGCCTGTTTCTGAGCAGGAAGGATATATGAGATTATTCCACTGATGGGCTACACATCATCAATGTCTAATGGGCTTCCTCCATGGGCAGGGGTTAAGGGTTATGCAAAGGAGGGAAATTGAGTTTATCCTGCTCTACTGTCTCTTGGAATCATCAGAAAAACAGAAAAACAGGGGTGGGACCTGGAAAGCCACAGCTGCTTTTCAGCCTCCTGATTCCCTTGGGATATTCAGTGATTCYTCTTTGTGGGGCAGAGAGGAAGAGACCAGGAAATGGAGCCTTTTTAAATCTTTTGTGCACTGATTCATTAYCAGCCAGTTTTCCATTTATTTTATTTCCTTTTTCCTCTCCGGGCAACCTTTATGGTTCCCATTGGTAAGCCAAGGGTCTATGTGACAAATCTTTCTGTACCATAATTTACACAATGAATGTCACAGATGATGTGAGTGGGAGAAGGGGATGGAGAGTTTTTGTGAAGCTTTCCCAGACCCTACAAATGGCTTTTTAGTTCCWCCTCAATAGCTGAGAAGCTGCTTTTTCCTTCCAAACTGCTCTGTTTACACAACAAACATGTTCTTAGCAAAAGCTCTTGAGGAAGGGAGCTTAAGAGCTCCAGGATTCATCTGGATGGAACTCACCAAGAAAATAAAAATTGGATTTCATTGGTTTTATGGAGTGCCAGRTTTTGACTGCAATATCCCAGTGGTGGATATAGAAAGCTGGCCTGCCTGCTCGTGTTATCATGAGTCATGTGCTGGTGGTGTTCAAGATGGGGCCACTTCAGGTTTTGATAATGAATTCTGGCTTTAGGGAGCGTTCAAGTGACTGAGAGGCAGGAGTTCACATTCCCCTTCTTACCCTGCTTGGATCCTGTTGAGAGGCAATGGAGTGGGACCACAAATTGTAGATGGAAATCTGATGTCTACAGTTTCTTGGGAAAATCAATTCCCCCTCCCCCAGATGCTGGCAGCCTGGCTGGACAGATTTATTGTGATTTGAGGGAAGGGACAGGGAAAGAGATGTAAGAGACTGCAGGCTTCACTTTTCTTGGTCCCATGACTGAAAAATCAATGTTGATGTTTCTCACGAGAGCCTCATGGGCCATTTGGCTTTTGTTTTTTTGGGAGGAAATAAAAACCATGTCCATCTAAATTGGCAGCTGTCCATGCAGAACAGCCCTTCTGTAAAATGAACCCAAACGAGGTTGCTGATGGGACCAAATTATTAAAAGTCCTTCTTGCTCTAATTAGCAAGAGCATCAGGATGCTGCTGGGGCTCTCTGGGTGCCTGGGGGTGATCCCAGGCTGGTGCAACTGAGTGTGTTCATGGCATGGAGGGCTCTGAGCTCCTCTGAGGCTGGTGCCAACAAGTGATGTTTTACAGGCAAAACTGCTCCCATTTATCAGGAAAATAGGGGTGAGGTTCCCTGGAGCAGCTGGGAYATGTRCATTCCCTCAAGAGGACATGGTYAAKCAGGGCCCAGCTTTCCTTGGGCTGTTTTKGGGAGTGTTTGGGTGTGCCGTGCAGCCCCTCTTCCCCAGCTGCATCTCYGCTCCTCAGCAGGGGCCAGATGAGCTGAAAGCCACGTCCCCAAGTGCCACAGGGGCAGCTGCCTGCCAGGAAAGCTGGGTTTGCCCCATCCCCTCAGCCTGTCTCTCCCATTGAGACCCATCTCAGCTCACGAGTGCAGTGGTGACCTCCCTGGCACGGTGCCCCGGCAAAGCCATGCCGCCCTGTCCTGGCAGCTCTGCACGCAGGGTCCTTGCAGGGAGCAGCCCAGGGAGGAGGGCTGTGTGTCAAACAATGATATCATTGACAGGCTGGAGCRGGACCAAGGCTGCTCCACGTCGGCWGACAGCAGGAACAGTCCCGGGCCATCTGTACATTATGGCACCGAGCCACTCTCCCTGCCTTTGGCTTCCTTGCCTGTGTTTAACCCGGCTCCCAAGGCTTTCCGGGGAACAAATCCTGCCAAGAGCAGGCTGTTGCATCCTGAGCTTGGATGCTGAGCTGGATCCTGRGGAATGGCTGATCYTGCTCTAAGCTGTCCCTGTAGGRAAGGTGTGAGGTTTCTCCAGAGCATCCCCAGGGCTCGTGTGCAGCTTTCCCTGGCCCCAAACCGGCTGCAGCTGCTGTCAAGGGTTAGCAAAAGGAGGGTGCTCCCACCCCAAACCAGCTTTTTCTCTGACTTCATCAATTCTTCATGCTGATAACTCCTCTAATGAGAGGCTCTGYGCTGCCTTTTAGGAAGATGATGTGTGCTAGTGATCTGCCAGCTGCCTGACTGGATCTCAGAAGCCTTTGAGTGATGTTATTTTGCATCCAGACTTTTGCAGCTTCAGCGTGAGCTGCTGGAGAAGTGGTCACYGAGGCTGTAATGTAACTGAGAAGAAAAAATCAAATTGTGCTGGTTTTTCCAGACTTCCCATCTCCAGCAAGGAGGTGAACTCTGTGTTCTTTTGCAAACAGTGAAGTAATTCCATCAGTGCTTTGCAGGGCTCAGCTCCCCTGGAATCAGCTGTTCAGCCTGGCAGGGATGCTGTCCTGAAATGATGGCAGATAAGGTTTGGGGGTGTGSGTGTCTCTCTGCTGTTTATCCARCAWCTGGGACAAATGGAAAARAGAGCCAAGACCARCTGGTAACKCTGGTGCACTTTTGGTGGAAAGAARGTTTGTTTGCTGTTTATTTACAGTTTGGTGGAAAGCTTGGTGAGGAAGTGAGTTGGGCTGGGGAATGAAATTTTACAGGCTCAAAATAAGGCAGGACCCCACTGGTGTTGCAAGATGTCCTGTTGTTTTTCCTCTTTCCTCACTGCCCTCCCCACCACACACTGTGCAATCCCCTGTTAGAGCCCTTCTTAGCAGTGCTGCAAGAGCCCCAGAACCTTGCAGGGTTTCCCTGTCTTCAAAATAGGAAGAATAGGAAAATAGTTTCAAGCTCAGAATAAGAAACTGGACTCTTCACAGGGACTCTGTGGTGCAGAGTAGGAGCCAGCTGATGGGCAGAGGCTTGGAAATTGTAACATGGAAATGACACTGGCTTCCAGCTCAGCAGCAGCTCCCTAAAAATTCAGGCAGAGCTCCTTAATCCATTCTAGAAGGGGCTGGAGTGTGCAGGCAGGAAGGGCTGTGCACACTGTGAGCTGTTTGTGCTCATCCTGTGCCCTGRAACCCATCTCTGGTGCTCAGCACCGGGGCTGGGCAGGAATCTCAACTCTGAGCAGCCTCTCCGGCGATGCAGAAGGGCAAATCAAGCGGCTATTCATAGCTGATGCTTTCCAAGAATAAAGGAGCAGGCAGAAAACACAAGMGTGCTTGTTTGGGAATGAGGCAAGGCTGCGCAGATCCCAGACAGAGGATCAGCAGAACAGATCCACATTGCTCCTGACACACACCAGATACCTGCCAGAGGCAATTTCCTGCCAGTTAATGCAATTTTTTAAATTAATATTTGTTTCTTTGCGCCCTTGCTGAGCAAGCTGCCGCAGCCAGGGAGATGAAGGGAATTGGGGGAATGTTGCTTATCTTGGGTTTACAGACCTGGGACAGCCGAACGCAGCATCGTCGCTTTCTAATCACCGACAGCATCTAGTGATAAGAATTAACACATCAGAAAAAGGCGAAATGAGCTTTTCAGGGCTGTGCTGAGCTTTGAAAGTGCAGATAAAAGGCGCTGTTTTCCTGAGATGCGATGCTATCGAACACAGCAGCGGTACAGGGCCGTGTCTGTCGTTAAGGTGTGGGTGCCAGTTCGGTGTCTGAGCCTTCGGGTGCCAGGGGGCATTTTCAAGCACTGGTACAAAGTTTTGTTTCCTGTTGTTTTGATGTAATTTGATTAGATAACACAGGCGCCCAATCCCTTTTTTTTAAACTGAGGTGTTTTCAAGGTTGATAAGATCTGGCTGCCAAGGCAGATGTGAAAATCTTTGTGTTTGCTGCTGATACAGCTTTCTTCATCCAGCCTTAAGAAATCAGGCCTTCAGAAAAGAAGAAAAGGGTTTTTTCCCTTACCTTCTACTAAGAAAATCTCTCTAAAATCTGATGCTGGACATGCATTAAACAGGGATGCAAAGGGATTGARCTGCAGTTTCATCTGACAGCAAATAGTCCAGGGTGCATGTGGCATCCTCCTGGATGGCCAAAGTGGCACTTTGGTGGCCCCACAGCCCCGTGGGGTGGCTGCAGGAGTGTGTTTCATCCGTGGGGCATGTTCTGTGATCCTTCTCCAAATTTTTGCGAGTCCAACTATTGTTTTTAAAAACATTGCTTCAAACCTACATTTTATGGCTGCTGAGATGGCCACAGGATATGACCTTCTTGCTTTGACCCAGATTTTGACTTGCTGYACTCTTTTACATCACTGTTTAGCAAATGCAGATGTTTCAAGAGGAGGAGAAGGCTGTTTCCTCTGGAACAAAATCAAAATGCTTTCTGTTCAGTGCACAGGAGCTCCTTTTATAGACTTTTGGTCYGATCTTGGGCTGAAGACAGGGAGAATATTGTGTACATGGGGATGACATGAACAAATTCAAACTGGGGAATCAGCGTTTTCCCGTAACAAAGATGTGAATTGGCTTCTGGGCAGCAGTTGAAATGCAGATGCAGATTGATTTATGATTGTACACAGATTTGGGCAGTGGAGACAGTCTGGGTTTGAGCTGAGGACTCACACCAGTGCCCAGATGTGTCCTGAACTGGCCTGTGCTGTGTTTGCTAGGCTGCACTTGGTGCTTTGAATCTAATCCAGTATATCTGRGGCATAACTTGGCAACAGAAAGAAAACTCTGCACAGAGACTTGTAGCCATTAAGGGTCACTGAGGAGGTTGGGGTTCTGGGTTTTTTTTAAATCCTCATGTAAAAATTGAGATGTGGGTGATCTGATTGAACACAGGCACAGGCTCTCTGTTATTGTTTTAATTTAATAAATGGCTTGAAAGAGCACTTAGGTGGCTTGTGGGGCCCTTCCAGAGCGGGTGTGCTCTGTGAGAAGTGCTCAGCCCCTTAGGGCAGCAGAGAGATGGATGTGGCAAGGTCAGTTGTGCTCCCACCTTCTGACCCTGTGCCATCACAGCGTGCTCTGCACGGGCAGCACAGCTCATGGTGATGCTCCTGCCATGGATCTGAGGGCTACTGGGCCAGCAGGAGCTGCCTCTGCTCCCCTGTGAGTGCCTGGCAGAGAGCAGAGTGCAGACAGAGCCCAGCTATGTGAACCCTGTGTGTCACCTGCCCTCCCAGGCTTCTGCAGGTTTCACACTGTGGGTACAAAGCAGTGGCTGCCCCAAACCCACAGCAGCAGGAATATTCACACTGACTTCAGAAAGAGTTGGATCCAGCTGATTTTCCAGCACCCCTAAGAAACAGAAATCCATCTTTCTTTTTTAATTTGCTTTTCTTTCACCCCCTCCCTCCACTGTGTCTGCAGAAACCTCTTTGCACCAGGCTACACCGAGACCCACTACAGCCAGAGTGGCCAAGCCCAGAAAACCCCTCTGACCCACACGGTGAGTGCAGAAATCATCCCCTCCTGTTCCTGCAGGGGACACCAGCCTGGGCCTTGGAGAAGCAGGGAATCTCTTCCTCCTGAGCTGTTTTTTTTTTTTTTTTGAGGGCACAGATCCCCATAGCTTTAAGCTAAATGGGAGAGCAGTTCTGCTTTCTGATCTGGGAGGTTCCAGTGGGAAAGCTGYTCCATCCCCCAAAAATGGTAAAAACATCTTTCTGTTTTGCCTGAGCTGTGCTATGATTGCCAAAGTTGGCTGCCAGCATTGCTCCCCTCTCTCTGGGTGCTGGGGAATTGTTTATTCCTCACACTGCTCACCCTCTTGCTTTTAGTTTTGCCACCAGGTTTTCCATTCCGGGGACTTTTTGGAAAAAGAGCCCCTATAAGCCAGCTCCCGTTCATTAAAAACCCCATAAATGACTGATCTCACACAGGCTTGGCTGGCTGTGCTGCAGCAGCACAAAGATGTGCATTGGTCACAAAGCAAAAAATAAGAGAAAATCCCCATGAGATCATCGTTCCTACTGCTGCCCCGGGGTGAGGGAAGGGATGCAATGAATATGTTGGTGTTTTCTGCCTCCTTGTCCCAGCCAGAGGCTGCCTTTGTCTCMCCAGCAGCCCTGAGATGGGGGCTGAGATGCCCACGGTGTCACCCTCTCCGGGGCTGAAGCCATCCTTGGGGCCATTCCCGAGGCCAGCTGCTGTTATGGGCAGAAAGCTTTGGGGCAGCCCTATTGCCAATCCCAATCATTTCCTTGGGGATTCAAAGCTCTCAGTTTTTACTGGCAACAAGGAGCTTTTTGATGCTGTGGCACAGGCCAGGCACAGCAGCTGAAAATCCACATTTGGCTGCAGAGTCACGGAGATCCTGCGGGGATAATCAGTGGAAAGGGAACAATTCATGGAGCACGGGGCTCTGTGGTGCCTAAATATAGCACAGGATGTCCCGTGTCCATCCCAGAAGTGCTCTACCAACCCTGCCTCCCTCTGCCTTCCAGGACCACTGCTTTTACCACGGGGTCGTGCGGGGCTGGGAGAGCTCCAGCGTCACMCTGAGCACCTGCCGAGGGCTGCGGTGAGTGAGTGCCTGGGGATGCTGCAATTTGGGAATAGCTCTGGAAACGCCCCTGGGGATGGCTCTGCTCCCAGCTGGCTGCCCYTGCTCTCAGAGGCCACCCAGATTGGGCATAAACAGGGGCATGTTGGGGGAAATGCAGAAATTGGGGTAAAAATTAGTAGCCATGGCCTCCCAACCAGCTCTGGATGCTTCTGTGTGCCGGCAGCGTGGACTGTGCAATGGCTGAGCTTCACTCGAGTGCACTGGAGAAAAAGACAGCACTCACCAGTCCCAGACCAGTGCAGAAACAGCTCCTGCTCCCAGTCTCTCCCAGCTGGCAATCTGTGTGTGTKTTTTGGGGCAAAGTCTTCAAGCCTGAGCTCCCTCCTGGGTTGGCAGCCCTGCTCTCTGCTTTCTTCCTCAGTGGTGCCAGGGCGGGGTGTGTGAAACCTTTGTTTTGGGAGGAATGGAGTCTTTGGCTGGAAAAAGGGKTCTGAATCCTCAGCCAGGTCTRTGTGTCTGAGGTCTGTATCCTCCTYGCTGTGAKCAGGGAGCTGCATTCATTTACACCAGCTCTGAGTTTGTTTCCAAAACATCACTGGGCTTTATTGACATTAGTGCTCATCTGCTCTGGAGCTCCACTGCAGGCTGCTGTGCTGATGGGCCTGGCTCCAGCCAGGAAACAGCCCCAGCCAAAGCAAACCTGAGAGATGTTCAGAGAGTGTAGCACAGGCCAAAGRGCTCAGTGAGATCAACAGGACAGCGCAGCCACCTGTGGCATTTGCAATAAATACCCCAAAAGCAAAAGCAGCCGCAGGTGTGCTGTGTTTCTGTCAGCCTGTGTTTTCCTGGGCTCTGCCTCCAGCTCCAGAGGGATTGAGATGTTCARTGGTGCCTGTGCAGAGAGTTCCTGCACCCCTGAGCTGTCAGTGTCTGCTGGCAGCTCTTTGACATCCTTTTCTAACTGCTGGGGAGGCACCAGAGCTGAGCACACGTGGCTGTTCTTGCTCTGAGCCTGCAGGGCATGAGTGGTGCCCATCGAGCCACACATCTTCTGGAGGGCACCACAAACAGATTTCCAGCTCTCCTGGCTGTGAGATGCTCATTGAGAAAACCAGAACCATCTGGTTATGTGCACGACCCAGAGAGAACTCTGTTTTTCCTGTTGACAAACAAAATCTTTGCATTTTCCAGGTCAGTTCTGTTAAAGGCAAATTTCTTCTGTTGTTTGAAAAGCTTCCATTGCCCCTAAAGAACAGGCTGTGTGCTAAACTTCTGTGTGTTAAACTTCTGTGTGTTAAACTTCTGTGTGTTAAACTTCTGAGGTTGTAGCACATGCTCCAACAGCCCCTCGATGTCTGAGCCCCACTGAATAGATTTTAATCTATGGAAGCTCAGGGGTTTTCCCCTCTGGACTCAAAATACTCCCACCCTTTTTATTAACGAACTGACTGGCCTGATAAGGATAAATGTCTTGCCAGAGTCAGATGGGAGYTCAGCAGCAGCAGAAGGATTTGTCTGCAGTTGCTGTGATGGCAATTAACTTTCTGTTTTATTGCTTCCCCTTTCAACAGAGGACTTATCATACTGAACAGCAATTCCAGCTACATCTTGGAGCCAGCTCCTGACCACCCAAACCAGCACCTGATTTACAGGGCAGACACCCTGAGGCTGCAGAAAGGAGTCTGTGGCTACCAGGGCACTGGGGATGCTGCTGAAGATTGGCTCAGGGATTTCACAACTGGGATGAAACCGGCAGGCCAGAGGGTGAGCAGGGTCTGTGCATGATGCTCCAAATATCCCATCTGTTCCAAACCCTGCTGTTCTCCAGGAGATAGCTCAGAAAGGAAAATGGAGAATAATTAAGAGGGTTTGTAGCAAGCTGGATGTGAAATAGGGGCTCCAGCAGGGAAATAAATGAGTGTTAGGGACTGTGGTGGGATGTAGCTGTTCCTACATCTCATGCAGGAACAAAAGGTGGGCTGAGAACAGGCGTATGGGCAACTTGCTGGAGCTTCACTGACTTTGGTTGCTCTAAATCAATCACATTTGGAGCTCTCAGTGTGGGATGGGATGGGGTGAATGGCCAGTGAGAAACAAACTGGGAAAAAATATCTATATATAAGTTTTTGAAGAGTTTCCTGGGGAATGTTGGCGGAATAACCCAATAACCCAATAACCCAGAGTTGCTGCTGCTGCTGCAGGTGAAACGGGAGACCCTTCAGACCACGAAGTACGTGGAGCTCCTGCTCGTGGCTGATTATGCCGAGGTAAGAAATGGGATTGTGTTTATATGTTTATATCCACAGAGCCCTGAGCACAGAGCATCTCCCCTGCAGCATCTCCTGGGGCAGGGAGGGCAGCTGAGATTTCCTCCTGGCATCCCAGTGGTCCAGAGCAGAGAGGGAGAGCTGTGTCTTGGTCGCTTTTATCCCTCTGCCACCAGCATCAACCGCTGTTGGCCCAGGGAGAGATGCAGGTTGTGATTTGGRTGAGGGATAAGGATCAGTTCTGGTCTCCCAAGGTAGCAGTGGTTGATCCTAATTATGGCTGGGAGAGTCTGCCTTCAGACCAGGGAAATTTGGGGGTTTCCAGCAGTGATGTGCTGCTAACTCAGCAGTACACTTAATCTCTAGAGAAGATAACCGTGGTTAAGCTCTGCTCTGAGCTGGTAGCAGATATATAAATAGACATTTTTAAGGCTCCAGATCACAGAACAGGTCTGGAAGGAGCCGAGTGAAGTCAGCAATCCCTCCCCCAACCCCAGCCTGGACGGCAGGCCAGACACCCTGACAGTGCAAACCACACAGTGTTTTACTGATTGTTTAATCTGCAGCCCAGGCAGGAGCCAGGCTGGTCCTATCCATAATTTACAACTTGAAACTCCAGAACRGAAAACCACACAGTGCTCTGGGCTATAATTTATTCTGAACAAAGCTAAAGAGGCAGAACTTATTTTGGTTTCTCTSTAAGGCAGCAGGACACCAGAGAATACACACAATATCCAGGAACTGCCATATGTTGTTCACCATTTGATCAGRCAAACTGGGACAGAGCCTCACAGTGCTGTTTTTGTTAACTGCCCTTTCTTTGCTGTGTCCCTCATCAGAAGAAAAGTCCYAGGTTTTGTCATCTGTTAAACAAAAATCTAAAAATGTTGCCACTTTAACTCTTTGAACCAAACAGTTTGCTAAAATTGACTCATTAATTGTCAAATGGTTTAAATAGGCAAATTGGTTGGATGAGTGGGATGTGGTGAGAGCTACAGCAGCCTTGACCTCAGACATGAACTGCTGTTACCACACATTTTCCCTGGCACATTTACCAGTTCTTTGCCAGCCCCAGGCTCTGGGGGCACTGATAAATTTGGGGTGCTCTGCTGTGCCACTGCTTCAGTAGCATCACTGCCATGGGGTGCCAGGGATGAATCCTGAATATTCGTTACAGGTGGGCTGACAGTCAGATGTACAGTGCAAAGAAATTTCACTTTATTGCTACCTTCTTATTTCCAGAATAATGTGACTTGTTTTAACACATTTCAGCTATTTGTAGTTGCCTTTTTTGCTGCTTGACATGTCCCTTTTGTTCAGTTTCAGAAACATCACTTCAGTGTGGAAGCAACGAGGCTTAAATTGGTGGAGGCTGCCAATTACGTAGATAAGGTGAGATCGGGTGTGTGTGAAAGGAGGAAAGCAAGGCCCAGATCATGAAATAYGAGAATTAATYGGGACAGAGGAAGGCTGGCTTTTTRGGACAGAGAAAAATGTTYTGGCAGTTCTCCCCAGTGAAAGTAAAACATCCTTACTTTTCAGATCTACTCCCTTCCTGCTCCCCTTGAACTCCTTCCGCCACTCCCTTCACCCCGCTACCCATGAACGCTTTTCCTCTTTGTACTTGACATGGGCAGAAGATTATTCCCTTCCTCTTTCCAGGAATTTTGACATATCAGAAGATAAAACATGATGTCAGTCTCCAGTCTTTTTTTTTCTCTAGATTATGTCTTCACCATTCATTCAAAAATGGAAGTTCAGTGTCTCTCTTTCAGTSGAGTTTAGGTTTGTGGGTGGTTGTGGATTTCTGTCTGCAGAGCTCAGCACTAAGCTGAAATGCATTTCCAGAGGGAACATCTTCTCTGGACATACAGCTCTCTTGCAGCAATCAGCAGGATAGATATTCAAGATTTAAAACACAGTACAATAACTTTGTGGTGCTCATTTTATTATCTCTTTTCTTTTCTGTATCTTAGTTTTACAGGTCCATGAATATCCGGATCGCCTTGGTGGGGCTGGAGATCTGGAGCGACTGGAATAAATGTGATGTAACAGAGAATCCCTACTCCACCCTCAAGTCYTTTCTGGCCTGGAGCAGCAAAGAGAGGCTTCACAGGAAACACGATAATGCCCAACTGATCACGTAAGTTCATTTCTTCTGTTCCTGACAAGTGTTGGGAAATCCGTTTGTAAGGTTATATCCTTCCAAGATTCCAAGTGGCTTTGTGGAAAGCATCCACTCCTAACCCATCCCTCTGACACACAGTCCTGGTGCTGGGAGATGGCTGATGGTGGCCTGTGACTGATGGCCCACTGAAAAATTTTCAGCAGCTCTCAGATCTCTTTATCTCTTCCGTGGTAATTCATCCACCAGGATGAGTCAGAGGACCTGCAGGACTGAAATGCAGAGATACAAAGCTTTTCCCTAGTTTTCTTTGGTTATTTTTTTTTCCATTTAACATTATTCTATTTCCTCTCTATCTGGTCACGTCCTGAGCACAATTTCCAGGGTTCCCATTTCAAACATGCTGTCAGGATAGTGCAGAATTCCAGCTCAGAGGTGGGAGCAGAGCGTGGCTGCACCTCAAAGGTGTTACCCACTACTCTGTCCAGTCCCTGAATGCCAAGCTGGCAAATGTCAGGCTTATGTTAAATTAAATATTCACAAWCAGTACTCAGTTAAGCATCCAGAAATAGTCTTTTCTGTGCTTGTTGCAAAGCTCAGCAGGAGCACTTTTTGGAACCAAACCATTAAAAAAAATAGGATTGTCTGGCTGGCCCATAAAACAGAGTAATAGTCCAAGATAARCAGACTTTAAGGCTTTGTAGCTCTGCTATGATGTCCTGTTCCTGAAGATGCTATAAAGACAATTTGTCCCACTGACACTGTATGAGAAGCTGTGCACTGCAGGCTGCATTTCTCTGCCCGTGCCTCAGTGCCCTCTCATGCTCTTTCTGGGTTCATTGCAGGGGTGTGCCCTTCAAAGGTACCACGGTTGGCTTGGCTCCTGTCATGGCCATGTGCTCTGATTTCCAGTCAGGAGGAGTCAACATGGTAAGTAATTGSTAACACCTAATATAAAATTTCTTACCAGCAGTGAATACATAAGATAGAGGCCTCCTAAAGCCCAGGGAGAAAATATTTCCTGTGAAGTTCTCCACTCACCTGTTTACAGGCAGGAATACCTTCAGTAGGTGTTTTCCACATGCACTAATGAGGAGTTCCCCCACCCCTCTGAACCAGAGGTGCACAGGACAGGCACAGATGAAAACACTGACATCCCTCTTTGACCTTGCACAGGATCACTCTGATAAYGCCATTGGTGTTGCTGCTACCATTGCCCACGAGATGGGACACAATTTTGGCATGAACCAYGATTCTGCTGGCTGCTGTAGCACCCCTGCAGCAGATGGGGGTTGCATCATGGCTTCTGCAACGGGGTGAGTTCATCTTGCATGGGTGGTCTCAGGGAAAAGTGCAAAGGGCTTTATACAAGAGCCTCTAGAAATGTAGAGTGAGAGTGGGTTTGTGCTGCCTGCTGGAGTCAGTGTTTTTAGAAAAAATACTGCTGGACAAACCCTGTGTCATGGAGTAGTAGCAGTTTGCAAAATTCCCAATGAACTGATTCCTGCCTGAGACTGGCCTKATTGCAGGGACCTGCATTTAGAAGTGGAGCACTGAACTGTCTGGCAAAAGGAAAATTCTCCTGTTCCCTTTTCTTAAGAATGCTCCTTGTTTTCTGAGAGCCCGTGTTTAACAGGAAAGAAGTCTTTGAGAGAAAGGGGAAGCAGGAGTGACTCTAGAAGCCCAAAGAGSTTCAAAATTTGATTTTGGATGAGGAAACATAAGAATCCCCGTAATTCAGTCACGAAACATACCGGACGAACCCATTCGCTTTAAGCCACAGTGACCATCTTCTAAAGCCTTCCTCTATTTGAATGGATTTTTTTTCATGGACATCTTCTTTCGTGCTTGTCATTTCCTCCAAGGAAAACCCTCAGGGTGAGAAGTGAAAGTGTAGTGGCACACAGCAGAGCACACAACATTCCCACACATGCACAGTCACACATGGAGTGCACAGGCATTGGAATGACAGAAATTAATAGTTCATGTCACAGAAAAGATTCACATTCTTCAACATGAGGCAGTAGATAGGAGAAATTAAATATTTTTAGCAGGCAGTTATTCACAGGCTGAGTGCTGGATTCCCAGGATTGTTCAAGCAGTTGGGAATGAGCCACAGCTCCAGCACTGAGGGGATAAGGACAGCCATGCTTGTCAGCAATCACAGCCCCATGTAACTCAAGGTGTTTTGGTTCTATAAAGTTTATTTTGTAAGGCTATTATTACTGGGCAGCCTTGCTGTGCAGTCCCACCTTGTCTTCAAGCATAATGCAGGCACGGGAAATCAAAAACTGCTTTAGCACAGCTCCACAGATTTCAGGGGGACCCCTGTGTGCTTTGGCACTTGTCAGAATTTGCATGTGCTCCTTTTTGGGTCTCTGTGCCWTTGCCCGGATCTGTCTTGATGTTTTTCTGCCCTGTCTGTGTTCAGGCACCCATTCCCCAAGGTGTTCAACCAGTGCAACAGGCAAGAGCTGGAGAAGTATCTGCAGTCTGGCGGAGGGATGTGCCTCTCCAACATGCCAGACACCAAAAGAATGTATGGTGGAGGGAAATGTGGAAATGGCTACTTGGAAGAGGGGGAGGAGTGTGACTGTGGAGAGGTGGAGGTAACAATTGTTCAGATCCAACCATTTTGGGGTTTAGTGGGACAGAAATTTTTAATTATTTCTTTTGCAAATGCAGTTGTGCGATCTGTAATCAGCTTTTCTTTGTGCAGGAGACAAACACGCCCTCCCTGTACGTAAATGTAAATCAGGGTTCTAAAATACCACATCTGATTTCCCAGTGTGTAGYACAATCCATTCCAGAACTCAGGGATGGTGTGGTCCAAGGCTGCACAGAGGTGATTAAAACTTCATTTAAAAAAGAGATGAAAAAGTGATTTTAGGTCACAGAGTCACAGAGTCATTTAGGTTGGAAAAGACCTCCAAGATTGAGTCCAACCTTATTAAATTAAAATTAAACCACAACACTCTGTGCCATGTCCAGATGTTTCTTGACCACCTCCAGAGATGGGGACTCCACCCTGRGCAGCCCAATGCTTAACACCCCTCTCAGTGAAGAAATCCTYCCTGCCAGCCAGGAGGAATTCTCCCAGATGTTGCAGTTTCATGTACAAGCTCACTTTACCTTCKCTTAGCACTGCATCTCACTTCTCCACATCCATTCTTTGCCTCATAAGAAAAAAGGGAGCTGGAACCAGCAGCCCAGACTCTCCAGATGTGAGAACACTTCATTGCCATTCAGATGTGCCCTGTAAACTCTGCTGCATTTCCCTGTGTTCCAGGAGTGCAGGAATCCCTGCTGTGACCCCAGGACCTGCTCCCTGAGACCGGGTGCTGAATGTGCCCATGGCAGCTGCTGCCATCAGTGCAAGGTGGGAACCTCTGGGTTTTCCTAAGGGGACAGGGGAAAACGGGGGTGGAAATGTGAGACTGAAAGCTGGAGGTGGAAGGGGAGAAAACACAGCCAAATACTGAGTTTAACTCCTCACCTAGTTTGATTTTTTTTTTAGCTATGAGTGTTGTCAAACTGGTGGGGTCCATCCTTCTGGCTGATTAATTAAATTGTCTCCTGTGAATGCTGTGGAATGAAGTGATACTGCCTCTCTTAAACAGTGAGGGATGGGATGAATCAGAGCTGATATTTCTCTCCACTGGCTTTAGCAGAAATCCAGACAGAGCTCTTGGTGCAAACACTTCCTCCAGGGATTAAGCTGTGTTTGCTCCAAACSCTCTTTCCTGAGGTGCAGCTGAATTCCTTTAGCTCAGGTGCTGGCTGAAGAAATGCTGGCAAACACTATGATTTTAAATCTSAGCTCTCCTTATAGAGACAGGTTAAAATGTGTTTCTGATTTTGGAGCCAAAGATTGTCTCAGATTTGACAACAAATTAACTGAAAAATGAGCATAGGCAAACRTTTCTCTTAAGCTCATTTTTATTTGTGCATTGACTGCGTGCTCTTATTAACCTATCCTGAGCATACGGAAAATAGTTTCCGAAATTCCACCTGGACTCACTTGGAGCAACCCCTCAGATGGAACTGTGGGTGCCCTTTGTTCTYCATGTGTGTGGGGGACAGGAGAAAAATGAGTTGAGCAAGCTCGTCAGCAAGGGAGACAAAAGATATGCATTAAGAAAATGTCTCCAGCAGACAGGACAGGCAAAGAGGGAAACAAACCTCCCAGCCAGGGAGGGTTTGGAGAACAGATTACACAAACATCTGTCAGAAATGGCTCAGGTAAATCAGATCCTACCCTAGGGTAGAGCRGGATGGATCAGTGTCCCCGTGAGGGACATTCTGTGCCTCATCTCATTGCTACCTGGGGAAGGGATGCAGTCATTWATTTTATTCCCCACAGTTCACCCAYTTCATGAAGTYCCAGAGGCGCATGAGTCAGTGCTGACCTCAAAAAACCTTAGATAAGGAGGATGAGGTGACACACGCAAGGTTCTGTCTTATCTGCAGGCGGACGTTGTGCAGACGTGAAACCACAGAGGAGCCAGGCACTAATTCTGGGTTTCCCCCACTGTCTCTTTTTTAGCTGATGTCTCCGGGAACTCTCTGCAGGAAGAGGTCAGGGCTGTGTGACCTGCCTGAGCACTGCACTGGCGAGTCCCCGTTCTGCCCCCTCAACTCCTACCAGATCGATGGTGCTCCCTGCGATGGAGGAAGAGCCTATTGCTACAGTGGCATGTGCCTCACCTACAGGGACCAGTGTGTGCAGCTCTGGGGGCCGGGTAAGGACACTGCCTGCCCCAAAACGCGCTGCTTTCTGCACCAGCAGATGTGCTGTGGTGCCCTGCTGCTCTTCAGGGAGCAAGGCAGGAGCATCTTCCATACCTGCCATCATCAGCAGAGCATGGGGAGACTTTGCTCCTGCCTCACCCTCGTGGAGGGGGCAGAAAAAGATTCCCCATGCTCCAAACACTCCTGAAGTGAGTGAGAGGAAGCAGCCACATGAGTGTCTCGTGTGCAGGAGCACGGCCAGCGCCAGATGCCTGCTTTGAGAAGGTCAATGCTGCTGGGGACATCTATGGSAACTGTGGCAAGGACATCTTCGGGAACTACAGGAGGTGTGAGATGAGGTGAGGAGCAGGGGGGCAGCCCAGAGTTGCTCGTTGGAGATGTTTTTTTTAATATTACAAAATTATGGGCCAGGAGATAAAACTGATCCATGCATGGGTTTGCTCCCTCCCTCTGCCTCCTGGGAAACCAGCTGCATCCTTGTAGGATGTAGAGCCCTCACAGCTGAAGCTTTCAGCTCACCATTTTCCTGCCTTTTGCATTTCCAAACATCTAGCTGATATTCTTCCAAAGCAGCAGAAGAGGGGGGATTTTTTTAATCTCTAAAAAAAAATGTAGCTTTCTAACTGAGAAAAAACATTGAGTCTTAATGTTTGATTTTGTTGAGGTTGGGCATTCATGGGACATCCCCCACCCATGGGGACTGTAGGATGGTACCACCAGCATCCATCAGACCCTATAGCTTGGGACAGTTCTTGGGAGGTGCCTGCTCATTTAACAATGACTCAGCACCGCTGCTTTAATTTACATTTAGAGCTCATGTCTGCAAAACATTCAGCAAGCCAGAAATAATCACTTTAGCCTTTCCTTTGAAACCAGAGATGCCAAATGTGGGAAGATCCAGTGCCAGAGCTCTGCTTTGAAGCCCCTGCAGCCCAATGCAGTGGCCATAGACACCACRGTGAACAGGCAGCGGTGCCGAGGGACCCACGTGTACAGATCTGACAGTGAGGAGAAGGAGATGCTGGATCCTGGCTTGGTGCTGACAGGAACAAAGTGTGGGAGCCATCATGTAGGTACAGTTCTGCCTGCAGTGTATTGAGGGAGGCTCAAGGTGTCACTTTTCCATCCAGAATGTGGTTATCAAGCCATTAATTTTTTATGTCTAATGGGGCTTTCTAGGAGATTCCTAAGTTTGTTAGAAAAATAATCTCTTCAGAGAAGCAGTGGAAGAGCACACACCAAAGGCTTTATGTCTTTGCCACATGAAGTTCAGGGCCAGGGCTAAATCTGGGATTTGCTAGTTGATTGAAGCTGTGTAGCTTAAAGGTGAGACACAATTAAAAATCAGGACATGTGAGTCAGTCCAGAGACTCACCACGTGGGCATGGCCAGGATATTGCCAGCTGAGCTCCCACTCCTCTCTATTCACATTAACTGGGATTTAGGRTCATCATTAACTGTTTGTTTGGGAACCAAATTAACTCAATTTCCTGTTGTTCTGCTCAGGGAATTAATTACTTGTATTTCCAAGGTGTTTGGGACCTGCAAGTCACAAAACAGCCCAAGGCAGTGCCATGGTACATAACCACAGGACTAACACTGAGTTTTTGGATCCTTTCTGTGCAGGTTTGCTTTGAGGGACGCTGCCAGAACATGTCCATCATYTTTGATTCTGAAAGCTGTAGCAAGAAGTGCCATGGGCATGGAGTAAGTGTCTCATTTTCCATTTCCCTTCCAGGTTGAAGCAGGGTGGGATGCCATTTTTCTGTGGCTGGTTGTTCAGCTCAGTTCTTATACCTTGTTTAGGTTTGCTCTAGATTTTGGCTTCTTGGTTATTAATTTGCACATTTCTTTCCTGTTTGATGAATTTTCTGGTTCATGAGTGTCCCTTTGATAAGGATTTAAGGAGGTCTGCTGGAGGGATATGAATTGCAATGAATGGCAAACAAGAAGGGGTATATCTTAAAAAAAATCTTCTAGGCCCAGTTTAGATTGATTAAAAAATACATCAACTTATCAAAGGAAAAATATTGTGAAAAGTCACATTTAGAAGTTTATCCCAAATTGCTCTGCAGTGCCCCCAGGGGATGGAAAGAAAAGATAAATACCAATGGGCCAAGCTCTTTGGCCTAAACAAGAAGAAATATTAACTCCATCAAAGGGAAGACTCATGTCCTTCAGAGATAAGAGAAAACATTTCTAAATGCTGCTTTTCTCCTGAATCCATGTTATTGTCACTTCAGCTGAAGAACCCTTTTCTTTTGGAGAATTTCTGAGGAAATAAAAGGCACTTTCACTCCCTGAAGAAGAGAATTTCCAGGCCCTTAACTCTCATTAGACATTAAAGTCTCCTCTTTAGTGTTTAATTCAACAAAGGCTTAATTTGTTTTCACTCGAAGGTTTCCCAGTAGCTGCCACTTAAATCTGTGAATATTCCCACTCCAGGTCTGCAACAACAACAAGAACTGCCACTGTGACCAGGGCTGGGCTCCCCCGTTCTGCAATGAGGAGGGGACAGGAGGAAGTTTGGACAGTGGTCCCCCCCTGCCTGAAGGTGAGTGGGATCAGCTCTGCTGTGCTGCCACYTCAGAAGGACTTSATTTAGTAGAGAACAGAGAGTTTTCCATTCAACAAACTCAAYTTTCTYGCCCTCAGGCTCTTCAGCGGTYGTGATAGCTCTGGCAATCCTGGCTWCYRTTCTCCTTCTCATTGGGATCTTGTTTTTACTCTATTATCKGAAATGCTGGAGTAAATTTGCCCTCTGTTCTCTGAAGAAAACACCTCAGTTCAGGTAAGCTGTCAGTGCTGTGCCTTGTCTGCTTGTCCACCCTCCTTCCTTCAGTGCCAGGACAGAAGAGACATTTCAAAGGCTGGGAGGAAAGTCACTAAATGGGTGTTTTTTTTTGGTACAGTCAGTATTGGCTGCTCATTTCTTTTATTCCAGAGAAGATAAAATAGAAAATACAGGGAAATAAAAGAGAAATTTAAGATCAAGATATTAACACYCTTTTCTTTCTCTCATCACCAGTGACACCTCTGGAACTGGACATGCAAACCCTGCCTTCAAGCTGAGAACCCCCCAGCAGCAGAGGAAGGTGAGGGCAGGGTCACCTTCCACCTCCAGGGCAAAATGTGGGATTGTGGTTCCCCTTCAAACTGCAGTTAGGGAGTGGTTTTATCAAAGGATGGGGAAAATAGATGGACATCACCCATGGCTGTTCCTGGTGAATTCCTTAAAGGCAGGAGCTGGGATTTGAGCAGGGCTGTGTGGCTGCTTGTCTCTCCTCTGCTGTCACATCCYCCATCTCAAAACTGGAGAAACTGCAAACCCTGGGTTTATTTGCAAGCATCACACCAATGCCTGGATTATTCTGTTCTCTTGATTTCCATTTCTGCCTCCTGATCCCAAATTGTCCAGTCCATCTAATCAACACCTGCTAGACATTCACAGCACATGCTGGTGTTGCAGGCAATATTTTCTACTCTGTGGCTCACAGACCTCTTGTAGATCCTCAGCAGTGTCACAGTGAGTACAAAGGTGGTTTGAAGTGGAAATAAATAAGGATTTGTGGCTCTTCTGCRCAGGTGATTGGCTTCCCTGAAATCCCACCCAAACCTCCATCTCAGCAAGCTCCGGGGCTCCAGATGAGCARGCAGCAGCCATCCCCCCTCTCTGCTGGGCAGGGCTGTGGAGTGGGGCCAGGACTGCCCAGGGACATTCCCCGGAGGACACCCCCGAGCAGACCAGCCCCTCCTGCTCCTCCTGCTCCCAAACCTCCAATCTCTCAGGTATGGAGTTGTGCTGCTGCCCTGTGGGTGCTGGTTCTGGTGAAGCCTCTCACCCTAGGGGAAGTGTTAGTCTTGACCCAAACTGGTCCCATCTGATGTGAGCCTCCTACCCATAAGGTGATTTTGAGGATTAGAAGGGAAGGATATTGATTTATTTCTTCTGCTGGCAGCTTTGTTCTAAACTTATTATGGACCCCACATTATGGAAAAGATGGTAATTCACCCTACTATTTTAGATTATTCTAAAATACTATATTTATTATTCATTATTTATTCATTATTTATTCATTATTTATTCATTATTTATTCATTATTTATTCATTATTTATTCATTATTTATTATTTATTTATTATTTATTTATTATATTTAGAATATTCTAAATATTAGAAAATATTTAGACTAATATTTTGCCAATATATTGTTAGTTTTGGGCCATCAAAGAAGCAAAGGACGTTGTTCCAGTGGGTAGCAGGAGGCTGGCTCTGAGGCAGTCTGTCTAAGGGACATAAAGGAAACAAACCCTATGAAGAAAAACTTAGGGACTGGGATTTGTTTCCAGCTCCATTGTTCCTGTGAACAGCCGGCACTCGAGCAGGAAAGAAAACCCAAACAAAAGCAGGAAGCTGAGTGTTGTCAATAAGGAATAGGTATCCTTCCCAGCTGGTTGTTGACAAGTTCCCTGTGATCTCCTTTGTGTTCCCTCCCCAMCACATCCAGTCTCTTTGTCTTGGGCAGCCCTACTAGATGGAACACTTTCCATAGGATTTCCACAAGAAACCTTTCTGTTTCTGGGTTAGTGGAGAGCCACGAGCTGGAGATGACACAGGGGAAATCATTAATGTCACTTTTTGCTAGTCCCAGTGTCCTTCCTAGATGTTTGCAGCATCTGCCAGATTTGCTCTCTTGCTGTTCCTGTGGGAGAATTGAGTCTGCCTTGTCCTTCCTGGAGTCACAGGGCAAGATCCTTGGAGAGCAATAGATCCCCAAACCATCAAGAAATGCATTTAGGCATAGTCTGAGGAGACTGCAGGGGTTTTGGGTGCCCTCCAAACTGTGAGTGCAGCTGTGTTTGTTAAATCCACACCTGAAAGGCAGCAGCTCAGCACTGAGCTGAGCAATAAAGCAATAACAGGCAGTTGGCTCTTGGGGGTGGCTTCTCCCCTGGGACATGCTTTCCACCAAAATTCATTAGATGAATGGAAAATATAACGCTCTGAGCATCCTATTGRGGACAGCTGTGTGCACAAACAAACMATAWCTGCTTGTGGGTCTGTGTTTGTGTTTGTAGGGGCACAAGAACGTGCACATTACGGTGTTTACAGGTATTGTGCAGGCAAACAAACAGTTTGYGTGTGAAACTTCCTTCCAGCCACGTGGCCCTGGAACACAGGTTACCTGTTAGTTGCAAAATTAAGGCTTCAATTCCAAACTTTTTCTTTCTTCTGTAGGACATGTCAAGGCCACGGCCACCCCAGAGGGCTCTGCCAGCGAATCCCGTCCCATCCCGATCCAGGGGCTGGCAGGGGAGCAGCCCTGTCCCACTGCCTCCTGGGCACCCCAGAGCCCCAGCACAGCTCCAGGTAGGCACTGAGAGTGGTGCTGGGAAGCCCCATGATGTCCTGTCACAAAAACCCTCTGAAGGGAATAAATATCAGCTGCAAAACCCCTTCATGCACAGCCCAGGGTGGGTGGGGACAGCTGTGGGGTTGGTCACCTTTATTGCAGAGGGCTGTTTTTACCTGTTCAATACTGAGAATTTATTGAGTTTATTGAGCAAAATGGTGAATTCAGTGCTCCACATCCTTGAACACTTCCACAGGCAAGGCATTTGTTGAGGGGGGCAGAGCAATGGGGTMGAGGGGTGTGCGACCCAGAACAGCAGAACGTGAAGATTCACACAAGAATTGAAGATGCCAGTAAGAAACAAAAACTCTTTCCAGCCTCTCCAGCCATGGCTAAGGAGATGCTTTTTCTGCAGAGAGTATTTCCCAATAAGGAGATGCTTTTTCTGCAGGGATTATTTCCCAAAAATGATCTGAATATGGGCAGTTCATAAGGGACTTTCAGGCACTGAGTTCAGCGCTCTGCAAACCTTTACCACGAAACATGTCCACTCCACACAGCAGTTGTATTTTCTCCTCATATACTGCAGGCCAGCTGTGAAAAATGGGGAAAACTGCAGGAACTTGTGCTCCTGTGTGCCGCAGACAGGCTTTTCCTGGTTGATAGCAACATCAGCTCCAGGAGAGGCTGAGGATGGCGCTCGCTCTTCCATCACTGCTCACTCCTCTTCTTTCCCCCTTTTTTCCATCTCACCCAGAATTCCGGTGCCTGGACAGCTGGAGCAGCGAACAACCTCAAAGTGGGGCAGCCAGGCTCCCGTGGGCATTCTTGAGGCTTTCTGTTCCTGGCTGGCCCTGCCCTTCCCAGGGCTCTGGATGGCCTTCATCACCCAAAACCACACTCACACATCCACTGCCATGGACAGTGTCTCAGTTCCTCTCCTCCTGTCTCCTCTGTGACCCACCAAACTGCAGCCAGGAGTGCCCCAGGCACATTCCAGGCTGAGCTGGACCCTCTCTGCCTTTTCCACGTCRGGATGGCTCGTTTTGTACGGTATTTAAATATTGTTGTGCAATATTCAGCGCAGAGATGGGGCGATGGGGGTTTCACGTGTTTTCAATCAAGTCGTTTTAAGTTATTTTAGTGTTGCCAGGGAGAACAAGCTGTGAGTGCAGGTGCTGGCCCTGATGGGTTTTCACATGAGCCCTTTTGGCTTCCTCAGCCCCCCATGCAGCTGCAGGAGGATATTGGTGCTATACAGACCCCTCTGCCCCCGGGGACAGCGGGAGGCAGCTGCTGACAACATTCCTCAGTTTATTGTTTACACTGGGGGGCAAGCGRGGCCCCAACCAACTGGGGAAATACGATTTGTGGGGCCACTGTGGATTTTGGTCAGCTTTAGCAGAGGGGATATCAACTATTTTCCCCATATAACCCTTTTCAGCAAGAGTGTTGCAGCCCTTCCGTCCCCCAGCACTCGCTTGTCTTCCCTTGGTGCTGTAAATCCCAAAAAGCATCCCCAGCATGGCCCGTGAGCTCCAACCCATGGCATCAGGACACATCCAGGTACGACAGGGAAGGCGGTACCGTGGAGCAGGAGATGTTTTTTTGCACGTGTTTTGCTCTGTGCTGAGCTGTGACTCAGCCTGGGCTGTCTGCTCTCCCAGACAGTGAAAAAACTACCTGAAAACTGCCCAGGTGATGACACAGCCAAAATACTCACACAACACATGGTGCTTTTGTAGGGCAGCTCTCTTTCTCCAGGCTTTTTCTCCAGGCCATGGATGGAGAGAGAGCTGTCTGTGTGCACTTTAAGCAGCTGATGATTCTGACCCTGAGGACCCTCCCTTATGAATTTGTTTTTTTCTTCTCCTAATAGTTTGGTTTTTGTATGTGTTTTTTTCTTTTTTTTTCCCCTCAGGATTTTAAAAAAAGACCTTTTGTTATGCCAGATTTTTTTTATTCTTTTCCTTGAAATGATTTCCTAGGAAAACACAGGGAAATCTGGAGCTGTGGTTACAACWGTTCTCTTGTGTCTGATTTATTATGGATAAATCCTCAAAGGCCATAACTGCTGCTCCACATGTGAGAAAGTGCATTATTGGCAAAAATAAAAAGAGTCTTGTTCAATCTGCTTGTTAAAGAAACCCCAGACGAACCCTAAGTACTCATTAAATTTGTAGTTATGGGTAACAGTGTATCTGTAGGATGACTCAAGACACATTAGTTTTCACAACTTTACTACCTCTTTCTCCACAAGGAAACAGTTCACAGGGTGTGTCTTGAAATTCTCACCAATTATTCCTTATCTCACCAATTTTAGATCTTTTCTTACCTTCTGCGTGCCTGGAAAACAAACCAACCTAAAAAACTCCTTTCTGAAATAAGGGAGGGCAAGTAAAAAAACAGCGTTCTAMTATTTTTAGTCTTTTTCTATAGTTGGGGTATATCACACATAAAAATGTGTATTCAAACAAACCCCAAATCTGTTGTTTYTTGGTATGTAATGGCATGTTTGGCTGCTCACAGGTGGAGCAGGACGTTCACTGTAGTAGCAGATTCAACTACAGGAACTTGATTTCATATCTGAGCCCTCGCTGAGGACAGCAGCCCTTCTGCTCCCACCCCTGATCCTTAGCAAMTGGCCACTGAAAATCAATAAAATTATTTTCATTGCATTTCATGTGAATGTGGGATCAAGGTTTTAAAAAATGCCTCTGGGCAAACAATGCTCAGAGAACAACTGGACGTGCCCAAACCCTAATGGAAAAYTTCACTGCTGGAATATCACAAAAATCCTCAAAAAGTCGTTTTAAGTAGGTCCTTTAAAATTTTCAGATGTGTGAAAGTTGAGTGAATGAGAYCAGGGGAACTGCAGGAGGACTAAAAGATGGTAAAAACTGATTTTTTTTGAAAGATAATGTTACTTGGGAGAACTTAAAACAAAATACATCTCACTTTCTCCTGTGTCCACATATTAATGGTTTACAATAATGCTCTCTATGCATCTATGCAAATACTTGAAGAATGCAATTCWTTGTGCCTTTTGCCTAGTTTTAATAAAATTTGTTGGTTGTCATTAAGAAATACTCTTTCACTGTGCATTATTTCATTACCTCAGTGCAAACCTTCATTTTCTGTGTGGCATTTCTCCAGGGATGGCAGGATTGCTGCCATGAAATGCACTTCTAGAGAGTGAGGGAAGGTGAATCCTATTTACAGCCACTTTCTAAAATAAAAAGGATAAAGCATCACCTTGATTAGGATGCCAAAACCCAAGCTGCAGCGAGTGATTATTTTCTTGGATTATTGGATTATTTTGGATTTTCTTGGATACTTGGATTATTTTCTGCCACCAAAGGAGGTCGCTGCCRTTTCACTCTGCTCCAGCTGCTCTCTCTTGTACTCAGCTCTCCCTCAGCTTCTTTATCCTTTAGGGCTACACCAGTGAGAGCAGAGAAATCATTAAAAATCATCAAAAAAAAATTTCAGATCCACCTGAAACTTTTTTTTTGAAAAAAAACTTTATTTCCCTTTCCACATTCCAAAAACCAGTAGTGAAATGTTATTAAAACTAGAGATTGCATAGTCCTCTCTCCCACAGCCCCATATTGTATTTACTCAGACACAGGTTTAACCAGGTGAGCATCTCAGATGGCAGCAGGACACCTGATGGAGCTCAAAGAATTGGAGAGAGCTTGCCAAGGTCAAGATATGTCCTGAGCAAAAAAATATTTAATGTTTACAGCCACTTGGTCTTTCAGACTGAAAAAATTTTCAGAAGTTTTGGAGATGGTGGCAGAGTTTCTCCTGACATGGGGTTTGCCCTTCCTCAGGTGGGGTCTGGAGCAGCCCCAGAAGCTTCACCAAGGCCTGGGCACCAGAGCTGCTAGGGGAAAAAAAACCCCAAACAAATAAAACTCCCATAAAAATAATTAACTCTGTGCTTCAGGGAAACTCCTGCACCTGACAAAAAGCTGGAAAAGATTTCTCTGTAAGAACACTTCATGGCTTGAGTCGTGCCACTGAGCCCGAGTGAGTGGCTGTTGCAAAATTCACCATTTTTTGGCCATATTTATCAATATTCTTGTCCCATTATTTGCAGAGCAAGTGATGAAACACRGATGAGCAGAGTGAATAGCAGGAGTGCACCGTTCCATCCTTGTCTCTCAGCTCCTCTTGAGACACTGGTGTGTATTTTAGAGCTCATGCATGTGTCTGGAAAGGAAACAAAAAAAGACACAAAGCACTGATCAGTGATCCATCAAGGCCTGGAGACAAAGACATCAATGGCCACCCAGGGGAAGGAGTGCAAGGGCAAACATCAGCCCTGCCAAAAATAAGAGGTGGGAAGGGGCCTCTGAGAGGAGCTCTGTTCCAGGACTATCATATTTCTTGACAACTTTTGTTTCCAGTGGCTGCACATTTAAGGCACAGCAAGGATTAAACACACCCCTTGCTGCCACACCGTGACAAAAATCCTGTCCAAAAGCCCACAGAAAGATCTGGCTTTGGAAAAGACACGGTCAATTTTATTTTCTGCTTTTCCTTTTTAAATTTTCCCACTAGCACCTGGAATATTGATAACACCCACCCAACCTCTAGCCCCTTCTGTAATGTGTTAGTTGTAGTGCATGAATACTTTGGGTTTCTCCTCTGGGGCGATGCTGGAGTTGTCCACCTCTATCAGGATGTTTTTGTCATCTCTGGTGACCGGCGCTGGCTGCTCGTTCTGAAGGACTTGGGGCAGATTCCCTAAACTGACATCCATGTCTTTGAAAGCGTGGAGTAAAAACACCCCCAAAATGATGGTGAGGAAGCCACAAACTGTCCCAATGATGTCAACCACGGTCATGGTGACCCACTCCTTGAAGAGGATGATGGAAGTGGTGATGACGATGGTGGTGAACAGCACGTAGTAGATGGGGAACACCAGCGAGGTGTTGAAAATGTCCAGAGATTTGTTGAGGTAGTTGATCTGMGTGGTGATGGAGGCCACCAGCGTGAGGACCAGGATCCATGTCAGAGGGTTCTGCAGCACAGGCTGGCCAGAAAAGAAGCCCTTGATGGCGATTCCCAAACCCTTGACCGAGGACACGGAGAAGGCGCCGATAACGGAGCAGATGGTGAGGTAGACGAGGATGTTGTTCCGGCCGTAACGGGGCGCGAGGTAGAGGATGAGGAGGAAGCAGAGAGCCAGSAGGATGGCAGCATAAGCCAGGAAACCTGCAGGAGGGAGAGAAGAACCCAAAACTCGAGCGGGGGACACAGGGAACTGTTGAGATTCATAGCCCTGGCAGGGAAAACCCAGCAGCCCCTGTACCTGGCTCCTTCAGCTTRGAAGTCATCTCCTCCAGGGTGGTGACCTCCTCGTCCTCCGGGGCGTGGATCACCATCACCGTGCTGCCCACCAGGCTCAGCAGGCAGCCCAGCTTCCCCAGCAGGTTGAGCCGTTCTCCGAGCAGATACGAGGACAGAATGGCACTGCACGGGACAGAAAAACATCATCCGGCACTTTTCAGTCCTCTCAAAAAGAAACAGCACCTCAAATAAACTTAAAAATGCTTCTATATCACACAAGGACACAAATTCGGTATAAATTAATAGGATTCCAGTGTGTTAATACACAATCACATGGCATCCACCGACAGCTGAACCTGCAGGGGTGCAGGTGTGACCTGTAGATCACAGCTCTTGTGTCAGCAAGGTGTAAAAATGCTGAATGTTTTAGCACATCCTCAGAAATGTTCTTTYGGTGTCTGAAGAATCACTCAGGAGCTGCTGGGCACTATGAAGCTTTTAATAYTCAGGGAAATTACYTCAAGGATCAGTATAGAGAAAAAAMCTGACCCTAACAACAGAAGAGTWATGTTAATTTTAACTAAATCATCACAGAAACTCTGAAGGTACTAGGGCTACAGATATATCTGCAAAAATATCTAGTTTTTGTCCMAAAAAAWWTGGGGCAAGACACCAGAGCAGTCCKAACTCTCAGTTTGCTTATTCATTTCACAATAACAGAGTTTCTTTAAAAACTTAAGTACTCAGAGTCAGGTATTTAGGTAGGAGTCTCCTGTTTAAAAATAAAGCAATAAAATAGGGTTTCAGCCCTTTTGGCAACAGCCAGAAGCATAAAACCCTACAACTTCAGAGGACCCTAAAAGCCCATAAAACAAAAGGCAGGTAGTTTGAAAGCAAGCCTGGTATTTTTGACCCTTTTAAATTTTTAGTACTCTTGACTACAAAAACAAAACTAGAAAAACAAACAAACAATAAAACCCCTCCAATCTTGACTTGGCTAAAGAGCTGGAATAAGGAATGATGCCATGCAAATATTTGCAATAATTTAACCTGCAGTGTAAATTATGGCAAAAATATGTTAAATTATGGCTGCCCTCCACATGCAGCACTTCCAGAAGGACATGATACCTAATTCAATGGTTCCCAAATGATCCCCCAAAAGGACAGCAGTGGTTAAAGTGTTTTTCAGAAAACACAGACATTTTTTGCTTTGGGCAGAATAAATCATATTAGCATCCCTTCAAGTCTATTTTTACAAGTCAAACAGGCAAACAAGAAAAAAAAAAAAAGGCAAATTGCAAAATATAGACACAAAAATCACCTTATGAGCACGCTCAGAGCCCCCAGAGGTGTGACAATAGTTGCAGGAGCAAAGGCATAGGCAGCGAAGTTGGCAGCTTCCCCTCCACCCACTAAACAAACACAAGAAAAATAAATACCAGTGAGTCCCAGTGCACTTTCTGTGATTTCTCTGGGGGCTTGCAAACCAGTCAGGAGTCACTTGGAGAGTGGGTTTTACACTGGGGCTGCTAACAGGGGCAGAGAGCGGGTGAAAATCTATTCCAGATTAAGAGAGGCACCACTGCAGGAGGAAACCCTCCCACGGGAAGGGCTGGGGGTGCCAGGGCTTGGCCATGTCAGGGCTGACCCATGGCCCATGAACCCCCAGTCCGGCCAGGGAGCTGCTGTGGGTGGAAATGAGGGAGGGGCAGCTGTGGGACCCCCATCCTTGGGGCTGTGATGGTGTTTTGGGGGCTGTGATGGGATCCCTGGGGGCTGTGATGGTCTCTTTGGGGCTGTGATGGTGTCCCTGGGGCTGTGATGGTGTTTTGGGGGCTCTGACGGTGTCCTTGGGGCTGTGATGGTGAATTGGGGCTGTGATAATGTCCCTGGGGCTGTGATAATGTCCCTGGGGCTGTGATGGTGTTTTGGGGGCTCTGACGGTGTCCCTGGGGCTGTGATGGTGAATTGGGGCTGTGATGGTGAATTGGGGCTGTGATGGTGTCCCTGGGGCTGTGATAATGTCCCTGGGGCTGTGATGGTGTCCCTGGGGCTGTGATGGGGTCCCTGGGGCTCTGACAGTGTCCCTGGGGCTGTGATGGGGTCCCTGGAGCTGTGATGGGGTCCCTGGGGCTGTGGGGTCCCTCTTTGCTGTACTGCCCTTGTCCCCAAGCAGCGAGGGCAGAGCAAGGTGGGGACACCTTGAGCTGTGGCTGCCGTGGTGACAGCCAGGGAAGAGAGCTCTGAAACACCCTGCTGTAAAATCTGCTGCTCTCTGGGCAGCTCTGGGTGCAATTTGGGGAGACACTGTAATGCTGCAGTGTGAAAGAAAGGTTTTAAGAGCTCATTCCAAGGGAAAGCAAGCTTTTTCAAGGAAGGAGATGCTACCAAAGGCTCTTTGTTATCTCCCTGTGCTGCAGCAGGAACCTTCCCAGAGCCCCCAGGCAMTCACTCAGGGAGGCTGTTTGCCCTGTGCCTGCCAGCTGCCTCATTAAAACCTGGCTTTTCACGCTTTTGATCAGGTAAAACTGAGCCAGCGAGTCTTGCCAGTCCTGCGGGAGGATGGACTGGGAGATCCTGCGTGGATCACTGCCTCTCCTCTCCCTGAGGAGCCTCTGCTGGGGATGGGGGAGCTCCACAGAAAACAGGCTGTAAGCACGATGTTCCACACCTCATCCACAGGGACAGACCCTGGGAATGCTGCACACCCAGACAAACAGCTCCTACTCACTGGTTAACAGKCCAGCCCACCAGAGCCAGTCCTTCAGGTAGCCGTGGCCTCCGTCTCCTGGGGAAAAAAAAAAGTGCAGGAGTTAACAAAAATATTCTTCAGAGCAAGAGATGGGAATGTCTCTTTGGAGAGGGATAAACTGCAAAGGGAAGAGTGTGACAAAGAATAAGAATGGACAAACTGTGGTGGGAACTAATCCAATTGTGGTCCTGACCCATAGGCTGTTGGACATAAGGAGCTTAATCCTACTGACATTGTGAACCCTGATTTTACCAGGTCAGGGAAAAGCCATGTTTTTGATAAATCTGACCCAACTGAAGCTGTCAGGAACTGAAGCAGGGTTTGACTTGCCTTAGAGAAAAGTGATGTGCTCAGATAGCTGGGTATACCCTGGGACTGAGAGATCACAGGGTGAAATGGGACAAGGGGCAATGAAGAACTGGACAGAAAGACTTCAGCACACAGGGAAATATCTTTTGCTAGAGTTCAGCCTCTTGTGGTTCCTCAACAACTCCATAAATGCTAAAGTTCAAATGTTATGCTTTATTATTCTTCAGAAATTGCTGTTTATTTGTTTAGGGTTTTTTCTCAAGAACTMTTTTTTATCAGCTGCACTTCTCTGTCATTAACCTCTAATTCCTTGTTAAACATTCTGAAAAATAGGGAGGGGTTTACTCTTGTTTACTCGCTTGGCTCTGCTGTGGGAAGAGCTCATGGAGGGAAGGAGGAGAGAGACATCTTCTAAWGAGGAAGCAATACTGATATTTCATTGTGCAAATATAATGCCACAAAGCAAACCCATCCGTGTTCAGCAGCTGCGTGTGGCCAGCCCAGGGGCAGAGGATGGAGATGAACTTGAGATTGGCCTGTGATTCAGGTGATGTTGGCAGCTTTGTCTCTGGGAAGCTATTTCATCATTCCATACCTCTGTGTCCCCTTATGGACACAGAGTAAAACGGGGATGGTGATATTCACTYCCTCTGAAAAATTATTTAAGAATTTTTCTTAATAGGCCAGAACTGGGAAGCAGCAGCATTTGAATGGCCATTGCTCTGCTCTGCAGTTCTGTAAGTATGTCAGCTGCCAGGTAGGACTCAGGCTGCTGCTGGAGCACGTTTGCAATGCTGATGGGATGAGCCCAATTGCACAGAGCGATCCTGCTTTAGGCAGCGCTGCCCCATCCGTGTGGACGTGTGTGCACACATAAACACGTGCCTCGCCCCACGAGCCTGGTGCTGGAGCAGAGTTATCTGCACCTTGTTGAGCAACACAGCCCCAGAGGATCCCTTCTGAACCCACAGAGTTCCCACAGAGCCGGCCTGTCCTGCACTCACACACAGCACTGTTAATGCTGTTCAGGCACTCRGGGTTCATCCCTGTCCTGGTGCCCTGCTGGCAGAGCTGCCTGCTGCCTCAGTTAGAGCAGGAGTGGGGTCAGGGCACTGTTCTACCCTGCTCCAGGCTGGGGCACAGCCATGAGCTGCAGCTTTGTGCAAAGGAACCCATTTCAAAGAGTTTTTAGCACTCTGCTTCTTCCCAGCTTCACACCTTGCTGTGTGATGGGCAGGTATTGTCCACAATCACTCGCTATTTGTGTGGCCAGGCGAGGGAATATTGCTTTTAGCTGAGCTCTTCCAGCACAGGGTTTTKTAAATTAACTCCTAAATTAACTCCTTTCCAATGCCAGGCCCATAAATGAGCTCCTCAGCTCCCACACAGCACTGCTGTCTGGGTCTCACACATAAAAATGCATCCACAAAAAAAGTCTTATTTACATTGCTGATAGAAGTCTGACTGTACCCAGAGGTGCTCCCTTGCCCTACCAGTGCTGAAATTTGGGTTATGTGTGTGCAGTCCTAGGCACTGGTGATCCTTCCCTCTCCTGCCCTCCAAAAGCCTCACCTGCCCTGGTGCCTCCCYTCTCCACCAGCCGTAGCAGCCCCTTTTTCTTGAGGATGACGCTGCTCCCRATGAGGAAGCTGGAGAAGACAGCCAAGCCCAGGCCAATGTAGAATCCATAATTGCTTTCCAGCCGAGTTATCCAGGAATTATCCGAAGTCCCATTGTCCTCGCTGATCACTTGGCACACGACCCGGTGGGAAAGGCATGAGAGGGTGATCAGAGACCCTTGGGGATAAAACAGCAAATTATTGACATGACTATCAGCTGTATTCCCTTGGACCCATTCCAGTGTCACCCTAACAGCACAAAAAAAAAGCTCAGAACACCTCTTTACTCACCTCTGGAAATGGCAGGGTGCTGTCTGACASATTCATGGCCTGCAGTTCAAACACCTCTTTAACACTGAATGTGTCTACACACTGAACTGGAAGGCCACAAGGACCTCTAAAAAAGTAATCTGAATTTCCAAACATATCTGCCAGAGGATCTCCACCAAACTCCAAGGTTATGGTGTTGAACTCGGCCTTATCAACACTCAGCCTTGCTGATCTGAATGCTTTGGTGCTTTCCAGCCAAATAATATCCTAAATTTCCAGAAAAAATATATCCAAACAATATTGACAATCCAGCCAATAATAATCCTCACACCTGCCAGCTCATCTGCAGTTACAGCTTTGGGTTTGATGTGGAGCGATGCCAACACTTGGTGAGTGTGCATCTCCTGCTCTGTGTGCTGAGCTGTGTCATAGGACAATACCTTTCCTCTACTGTTTAATGGCTTTATTCTGCCCTTTTGCAGAGTGCCTGAGTGCTCCTAAAGCAAACACAGTCCTGCTAGAGTGAAAGGACGGAGAGCAGGCACAGCTTCTGCTGCTAACACCAAAAGCACTGCACCCCTATAGCTCTGCCCAAGGCGTGTTGCTGTGTGGGGGTGGCAAAATTGCAGAGCCTCTTCCTCCCCTGACACTCCCACCACACCCAGCACATGTTTCGTGCAATCTTTACTCTGAGTGTAGTAAAGTTGGTGTGACTGTGACCATGAGAAATAGAGCAGCCAGGTGGAGCACAGAAGTTTCTTTGTAATAAAAGACTTCTTTTTTTTTTTTGCCTGAACTCACTCAGGAATTACAGAGCAAGTATTTGTGTCTCTGCAGGCGAGGGTATGGAATGGCTAAACCGCTCCCAGCGGTGCCAGGAGCCTGGGCATGGGCCCCACATTTTTCCTGAATCAGGAGTAGCCTGGCTTAGATCTTCTGCAGCTGCAACCCCTGGCCCTGGGATGCATARCTGAGGTTTTGGATCTGAACTGGCTATAAACGTTTTTCTAAAGGAAAAAAAAAAAAAAAATCCAGTGGCTTTCGATATGAGTTTCCAATTAGGGTTCCCTAACAGAATTTTTTTTCTACTAGAAAAACATTCTTGAACACGGAAATATCTCGTGGGGAGTACAAGGGGAATTTGCCTCCTCGGCTGGTGAAAATCTCCGCAAGGTACTACCGGGCACAAGCATGAGGCAGCGGGAGGGGGTGATTACCGACTGGATTAGGTAATCCTTAAAGGAAAATAACCCAACTCCTGGCTTCCCTGAGCATTTGCAGGCTGGCAGAGTGTTCTGCCGGCTCCTCCAAAGTGACTCAAGTTTCCCCACTCCTATAGAGACCTCAAAAATAGGAAAAAAAAAAAAAAACCAAAAAAAAACCACCAAACAAAAAAAACAAAACCTAAAGCAGAGCAGTGACAGAGGAAAGTCCCAAAGCTGGGTGGGATAAGGCCGGGGAGGGATAAGGCCGGGGGGTGCGGCGGGTTCAGCCCCGCGCTCAGAGCCGGAGCGGCCGTCCCGTCCCGGACTTATCCCTGCCCTGTCCCGGACTTGTCCCGGCTCTCTCCCGGCTCTGTCCCGGTTCTGTCCCGCCCTGTCCCCTCTCTCCGGGCCGGTCCCGCTGCCCGGGGCTGCACCCACCGTTGCCGCAGCTGCTGTTGGTCTCCAGCGGCTCCATCGCTTTCGCTCTCCGGACGCTCCGCGCATCCCGGGCCGAGGGCAGGGCCGGGCACACCTGAGCCCGCCCCGCTCCTCCTCCAGCATGGGCCGGCCCTGGCTGGGCTGGGAGCGCTGGAAATGCCCGGTGAGCCCTGCACGGTCCGCAGTGCCAGCCCTTGTCCCCCAGCATTTGTCCCCATCCCCGTCCCTGGTCGGTGCGGGGGTTCTGTGACTGCGCACAGAGCCGGGACAAAGCTGCTGCCGCAGTCCGGGCAGGGGTTTCTCCTCTGGAGGATGCTTTCCTTGTTGCAGAGGCTGGAGAAGGTGCTGGGGCAGCAGAAGGATGGCTCGGAGGTGTGTGAGTGGGGATAGGGGAGCCTGGTGTGCGCTGAACGAATCGTGCACGCTGTGAACCCTTGCCACGTGTGAACAGTGTGGCGGAACAGAAAATAAAAGTAAACAGGAGAAATATTGGTGGCAGTGTCAGTTTAACGGTTGGACTCGATGAGCTRAGAGGAAGTTTCCAACCTAAAAGTTTTGGGCTGCACAATATGCAAAGRATATGAAGTTGTTTGGGATCATCCAAAGAAGGGCCACGAAAAGGGGTCTGGAGGAGAAGCCCTGTGAAGAGCAATTGGGGTCACTTGGTTTGTTCAGGCTGGAGAAGAGGARCCTCCATCAACTCSCCCTTCCMCAGCAGCTGCAGCTTCCCTTGCTGACGGTGTGTGAATGTTTTGGACTGTGTGACACATCAGTTTTGCCTTCATCCCACCGTCCTCTGCCGACCTCCCTTCGTGCATTTGTGCCTGGTGGCTGTGTGTGCACAGAAACCTATTGCTGATACAAAAGTCCTTTCGTTGCCATTAGCCAGGTTCGGCTGTAGGTCAACAGAGATAAGTAAAATCAACAGTAAAACAATAGCTGTGCTTCAGCAAGCCCACATTTAGGTGTAGAAAGGGTCCCTGCTAAAAGGAAATATAAAGATATGAGATTTGCAGGAGCTAAATGCATCTGAAAAATTGCTTTGGTTTTTTCCCCATAAAATAAATCGCCTTTYTAGACAGAAATTGCCCTTAGACAGCCGTAGATCAGGCTGCAGCATTGCTAACTCCTYGTGGCTCCTTCACTCAGTGCCTGATCCTATCTCCGAGCAACTGTTTTCCCCAGCAAATGTAATGCTCAAGTGCTCTGTGAGTCATTTGATTTTAATCAAGTYTGTTCATCCATCACAGTCCTGCGGGGTCACTGGCTGGGAGAGGCTGTGCCAGCCAAATCCCACGTCCTCCCCTTTATCACGGGGCACTTGATAATCAATCCAAGTCATATGGCAGCAGGTTTTGAAGTAGGAAATGAAACATGTGCTAATTTATCAGTGTTGTGGGAGCAACTTCTGCTGCTGTTACTTATTATGCAACCAAAAGGGACAAGACTCAGGTTAAGGCAATGATGGTGGGATTTGGCCTTTATTTAGTAAATTTACTGGCTGATGCTGGTTAGGAGCTGGTTAGTTCATGCAATGTGTGAGTACAGGGCTGGTTGCAGAAACTGCTGTGAYGGTGGAGTGGGACAAGTATTTGCTGTGTCTGCAGTGCWKRC